CCTGCCAGGCTACCTGTTCCCTGAGGACCCCTCATACGATGCTACAGTCCTGGATGAGGAGGCTGTCAGGGAAGTGTGTGAGAAGTTTGAATGCACTGAATCCGAGGTTATGTCCAGCCTTTACAGCGGGGATCCACAGGTACAGGCACATTCACAATTCTTTAAGTAGTAATAGAATGGATATAGTGTTTTCTCTGTTTATTAAAATGTTAATATCAATATAAAATGTAGGTTTTTATATATTTACAGGGAAATCTTTGCTTTATAATTTTTTTAGAAGCTCATTTAGGAGCAATGTGACATTGTTTTAGTAGAGTTTGTTGACAAAATTGGAGGTTCTTTAGTTGCTGCTATATGTCTGTTCTGCTTTTGTGGCTATTTTCCATCATGCTACCAACAATAGCCAATAGACTTATATCATAGTTGTTAGCTTCAGTGACTTATCTCCTTAGTATTCAGGTGACTTCTCCATCCTCTGCATGCAGGATCAGCTAGCAGTAGCCTATCACCTTATAATAGACAACCGGCGCATCATGACCCAGGCCAGCGAGTTCTACTTGGCCTCCAGTCCTCCCCAGGGCTCCTTCATAGAAGAGGGCATGCCGCTACCCCCCGGGGTCAAACCCCACCCTGAGAGGATGCCTCCGCTTCTGGCTGACAGCCCCAAGTCTCGTTGTCCTCTGGATGCTCTCAACACCACCCGACCCAAACCCCTAGCAGTGAAGAAGGCCAAGTGGCACCTTGGCATCAGGAGTCAGAGCAGACCCTATGATATAATGGCTGAAGTGTACAGGGCTATGAGACAACTCAGCTTTGACTGGAAGGTAAGGACTGGAAGGCTATGTCCTACACATGCACAGATACATACACTAAATACATAGGTCTACAGTATATAAGAACTTGATTGTTATTTTGTGTTGTAGGTGGTGAACCCGTACCATCTGCGAGTGCGGCGGAAGAATCCAGTGACGGGAAACCTGGTGAAAATGAGCCTGCAGCTGTACCAGGTGGACAACAGATCCTACCTCCTCGACTTCAAGAGCATCGATGGTTAGTGATAGACAAAAGTGATTCAGAACAATTTGTCATACATGCACCACTGCTTAACAAATTCACATAATTTTCCAATGTGTTATTGTACAATGTGTATAGCTCTACCTCAGTGCAGGTGCTGAAACTAATGAGTGTCGGTACTCAGTTTACCCCCCCAGTTTTGTGGTTCTAAAATCTGCTTTTGCTGAGTTGGTGGAGTTGGAACAGCTGAGGTGGTGTTTATGTAGATCAGGTGGCAGAGTGCACTTTTGGTACTTGTTTTAGCATAAAATGATACTTGCATTCCAGCCTACACAGACGACTTCCTCTTAGTATGGCATTTTCATCAGTTACATTAGGCTCTTTCATGCTTGTTTAGTTTCATATAAAACAGATTAACTTCATGAACTACGACTCTGTTAGGAAGAAGAAGAAGAAGAAGAAGAAGCATTTATGTGTCATTGCACAGGATACAACGTAATTGCACAGGATACAACGATATTACATGTAGCGCTGATGCTACTGTCTTCTGCTCATGTGACCCCCCCAGATGACATCATCGAGGCAGTAGGCTTTAAATCGGGTTCGTCCACTCCTCAGAGGTCAGGCTCCACAGCTGGTCTCCACAGACCCAGACTGAGCATTGATTCGGCAAGCCCTGCGATTGATCTGCCTCAGCTCAGCTCCTCTCTCCCAGGGTCCCTGTCTGGTAGCTCCCCTCTACTCACCCCACGTCAGGGATCACACACCATGGACTTCTTTGAAATGTGTGCCAGTCTGATCACCACACTGGCACGCTGAGACCTGTCGATTCCTAACCCTCACAGACCTGTAACCTGAATGTAAGTGGGGTGTTTGAGCCAATTGCTGATCCAGGATGTAGGGAGTGTAAATGTTTGGCGTGTCTTCCTCTCTCTGTCTCTTCTTTATCTCTGTTCCAGTTGTATTGCTCTGGAAGGGGGGATGAAAATGTGAAAAGCAATGCATGTCACCTCAGATTAAGGAGACATAGAGAGGAAGCCTTTTTCAGAAAGGCAGATTAATAGCTTTTTTTCCCCTTATTTTGACACAGTCCTTGAGTTAGTCATGCAGCTTAGACACCAGGTGAAAGCCTGTGAAAATGGATCCTGGGACTGGAATCTGTGAACTAGTGGAGGCCAGCAAAGGTCAAGTTCACTGTCACTCCTCCCACAAATACCTTCAATCTATTATCAACTGCTGAAATGTCATCCACCATAACACTTAATGGTGGGAAATCCTGCTGATTTTTCTCCAGACACTGATCGGAGGTCAGTTTTGCTTCTTGTCTCATATTTTGATTAAGGCACTTGTTAAATTGACGTTAAATCTGTGTCTGAGGGAACATTAACACATGTAAAATTTGATTTCAGGTTTTATATTATATGATTTGTAAAGAAGCAGCTTTTGTTATCCATGTATATTATATTTGTATTACAATCGTTATATTGTTATATCGTAATGCAGTCGTATTACTTAGCTGAAAAGTTTGACAAAGGTATACCAAATAACAGACTTTATACACCATAAAGAAGATTATTAGTATTTAGATATCAGATCCATATTTATTTTTGAGAGATTTTTTAGATACTGTAGTTATATTATTTAAACACTGCATCAACATAGAGTTTTATTCTGATTTTGAATAGAATGTAGAAGATTAATGAACCTAAAGAGACAGCAGGATAGTAGGGCGACAATACTTTGCATTTAGTGTCCTGCATTTAGTGTCGAAGCACAGATACACACCGTCTCACAAATTTTCACAATCACCATTTTATCTGATGTATTTCAAAGATACTATGCATACCATACGTATCTTTTCAATTTTTTTTACCCACACAAAACCGTCATTGTATCTGTCATAAATATGCAACACACATAGACTCATTTACACTTCAGTGTCTGAAGTCTGTGAAAACATGGCAAATGTTCATCTGAAATCAGACCCCAGTTTTCTCTGACCAACAGTAAATTACCCTTAAATATTTATACTTTTATTTAAGAGAACAAAAACAAGCAAATCTTCACTTAATGAATTCAATTAAAATGGCTACTAATCATATTAGCCGCAATAAATGTAATAGGCCCTGTGTCCATCCTGTAGGTGAACTAATTAAGAAGTGTTGACGATAATCAAGGAGTAAACAAAGATGACTCATGTGAGATGGTGTGTATCTGCTGCAGGACAGAATAAGCCACAGGAACCTTTCTCCAGTTGCCTTAAAGAATGCAGCACAGTAATTCTGTGCATATGTTTATGGAGAGTGTGTGCATGGGCCAGTGTGTGTAATGGAGATCAGATGAGTGGAGAGTGTGTCACATGACTGTCATGTTTTCTCACTGACAAAGATGATTTATGAGGAGGATCTCTGTAGTGGTTTGAGAGATTGGTAGAGACAAGGGTCAAAAACATGATGCTTCTGTGTTTTGGAGCTGTTGTCTGTGTGTGTATCTTCTGTTTAGCTGTCGTTTGCTGTTTTTATTGCGGGGATACACAAACTTTACTGTACTATTATAAATGTTCTGCATCGTCCTGTCAGATCGTACCATAGCAGGGTTGTGTGTCGCTGTTGTCATACAATATTTTGTCTAAATCTTTTCTGACTGAATGTAAAGTGAAAGCCAGTGCTGCTCAGATAAATCATTTCGTCTGTCTTTTTCTCTGTTTTCTTTTTCTTAGTTATAAAGCAGTGTTGTTTGGATAGAGAGCACTGGACTGTTGCCTTTCTACTGTTAGCAGTCAAACACAGGGACGGGTAGTACGTACTCTACTTTAGGCTGGTGTCAGAAACTCCAAAATGGTCAATGGTCTCATTATTATTACAATTTAATCATCATTATTGTCACAGGCTTGGAGCAAGAGGCAGATTAGGGATACAACTGTACAATGTAAAAATATAATTTTATCAGGTTAGTACAAAATAGGAGTGATGAGATAGCATTTCATAATAATGGGGAGAATTTGGCCATGTTGGCGGTTTACAGACACTGGTCTAGACTGAATATTCACCAAGATAAGAACACTGTTGCTAACTTTGTTGGACCTACAGTAATCTGATACAGACTGAGGTTTGAGTTTGTTACTGTGCACGGTTGTAAAAGAACGGGATTCAGTAATCTTTGCCTTATGAGAGCTTTGGGTTTAAACAGTGAAAGCCATCTTCTTTCTTACTCTGCTGAAACCCTTTATTACATGTGTTCTGTTTTTATGTCCTGTGTATGGTTGCCTTACTTGTCTGCGACGGCACATATACCACTGAATACACTCTGATGTCAGGGAGAAACTCTGCTCCCTGCTGCAACACACATGCAACTGCACACACAGCTTTGTAAACACTAATTCATGTTCTTCAGTCAACCCTCTATATTACACTCTATTGCTGTGTCTTAAATGACTTGTCCTCTGTACAGTGAGCTACTTTGATCACAACAGGATCATATCTGGCACATTCTGCGTTTATTCCTGATTCTGCTACTTGTGACAACAATATAAACTACTGATGAATGAAGTCGCTATATTGCAGAGGTCATGGTCATTAAAAGCTCACCATATAACCAGTATTTACTGTCAGATGTAGTACTGTACCATTAAAACTGTATGCAACCACCAGTGGCACGTTAGTCATGTAAACTCTAATCTGTGTTTAGAGCTGGGAAACACATGCCAGAGGGCTTGATCAAATACAGACTTTCCGTGTTGTACCAAAGTGAGTATTTTCAACAGCAAAGCTGTGCTCTCTGTGCATCTGTGGTGGGGTTCTTATGATTAGTCTAACCTTAAACACCCCAGTGTATGTTGTATGTTTGTGTGCACACTGGTTATTGGGAAAGAATGTGTATATGGGTGTGTTTCTGCGTGTGTGAATGTGACAGTGTGTTTCAACTGTCTATCCCTGTCTCTTTGTCTGATTGGGGTTTGGATTTCTATTGATATGCACTGCATGATATTGCTGTTATGATTTGCACTTTAATGAGTATTTATTGAAAAACAATAAACAAACATATAAAAGGAAAATGTTTTTGTCCTAAAGGCTTTGTGAATTTTAACACACACACACACACACACACACACACACACACACACACACACACACACACTCATCACAGAGGATTATTTTTGTGTTTTTTCCTGACAAAAATGCACCCTTAGATGTCAACAACAATATTTTACATGAAAATGACCTTAGGTGATCATCACACTACTTTCTCTTTCTGTAATACTTATTATTCATCAGCTTGAGGGAAAGTTTAAAAGAAAAGTGGCACATGAAAGTGACACCTGCCAGACATCCGCTCCATAAAAATGAAAGAAAGAAAATAAAGTTTATGGATGCTGATTCCCTCCAGAAAATGCAACAATGACCAATACACAGCAACTGGTACAAGTAGAAATCTCTACTTGTATATTTTAGATTACACTCCACATTATTTATTGGTAAAATAATTATAATATTAACCTCATATAAGCACTTCAACAATCTATAATGATCTTTAACAAAATGAGACTAAATAAAAGAAAAAGATGTATAAAAACAGCACAATAATACAAACACTTGGGAAAAACTGACTAATATCAGGTGACTGCTGAAGGTGGTCTTAAAAACAATGTCATAGATGTACATGTATCATGTTATGGATCTCATTGGGTACAGCCGGCTAAAATGCCTTTTAGTTATTGCTGATGATTAAACCTAAAAATCTGTGAAGTCTTTGTTCATTTGTAAGTTTATCAGCTAGAATGCTATTTACTCCTTTGCTACCAACACTGTTAACTGGTAACAAGTTTGTAGGTCACTTATGTCAACAGCCCCTGAAACTGCTGTAAGTAGACTAAGATAAATATTCAGACACTGATAACTTGTTGGGTGCTTTGAACTGTGCTCTCTCCAAGGATTGTGCATAAGTGGTTGAGCCTGAGGAACAATTCGGCAGGAGAAAATCTATTGATTACTGGAAACATAGATTAAAATGTTTAGTAAACAATTCTCCCTGTTTGTCACGTGTTTGCTTTGTTTTTCCTCAGAATGGTGAACCTGACAAATACCTTGGTCTGTACGTCCTCCCCATATTTCCACCACTTTTAATAGATTTGTCTTTCTAGTAAATGCACATGAGGTGTGTAATTTTCCCTACAAGTGCCTCCAGAGTCACTGTACCCAGAAAGCCTGTGTGTGTGTGTGTGTCTGCAACAGTTTGTAAGTCCTTTCCTGGGATCAGCAGATCACCTTGGTCCAAGGTTCAAAGTCACTCGTAGCCACCGGGCAAACTGTCCCCCACTGGTTTCACACCAAATGCTTCGGAGAAAGCGCACAAAGAGATTGCTTGTCGAGAAATCCCCTCATCTTGTTCCTCTTGTAAATCATCGTACTGATCCATAAATGCAGTCAACAGGTAAATAAGGTCATAGTCAAGAAGATGAAGTTACTGTCACAGTATTAGATAACTGATGCAGGTCACAGTGTGAAGAATAACACCATAGACAAATCCTGTTTCCTCTGCCTGGCTGATATTTGTTCTGCTGTAACAAACAAAAACACAACATAGTATCAGTATGTGAAGTGCACAGTGATGTGCAGTGAAGAGTCCAAGCGATTGATTCTCACCTTGTTTTAGGATTGTCACTCAACAGTCAAGTCCGCATACAGAAGAGGAGGAGGTAAAATGAGGATATCAGTTTGATCAAAATCCATTTCCTGTGTGGAAACAGCTACAGGCCTGTGGAAACACAGATTTGTAAATAACTCAATCTTTCCTCTCCCAGAAATGGATGTACAGTGTGCAGACGCTGCCATGTTGCCTACTGTACAAAGGAGAGTGACTTCATTTTGAGCATGAATATGACACCACTAACAAATGTGAAAAGCACCTGCTCATTCGCCTTCCAGGAAACAAACCAATTTAACTTTCTGGTTGGAGAATGAGTGGATTTTTCATCCATCTCTCTTTCTCTCAGACACAAAAAGTATAAACACTTTTCAAGCTCAGCGAGCCGTTCCAGGCAAAAAGGAAGTAAAGGTGTCTGTCTACAGGTTGCACAACATGTTCAGCATTTTTCTGTGTCTGTGTGTGTATATGTGTGTGTTTTGTTTTGTTTTTTTACTCACAGGTGAACTGCTTCTTCCTTCACAAGCACAGGGCCTAAAATAGAAACAAAATCTGTTCATCAATCACATCAAAAGCTTTGGAAAGAGGATGGATAGATAAATAGATTCTTCAATGATCGGGCTATTAAGATATTAAGTTAAAAAAAAGTATTCACAATAAACTTAATAAAATGGAATGATAATGTTGCACATCATCAGACATACATCATTTATATAACCGCATATGGTTGTTATATATTGTACATATACTGTCTATTTCCATTCAACACTTCTATAGTTTTTCTATTTTTCAGGCATCACTCACTTGTCTCTGGTTCTGGTTCAGTGCTGCTGTAAAAAAGAAGGAGAAGCTAAAGTTAAAACCCCATTTGTGTGTCTATGTCTGAGTGTGTGTATACTGTATATAGCAGGTTTGGTCATCGTGCCTACCTGGCAGCTGGCTCAGCAGGTTTGGGTGAATGGAAAAATGTGGCCAACTTCTGAAGTGCTTCATGTCTTGCTCTGACAAAAAGACAAAAACACATATACTGTATATCCACACTCTGCTTATGTGTATATGTGTGTGATCGGCTGTAAGAATGAAGCTGGTGAACTCACTGGGAGCCATCTGAGCTGGTTTCACTGCGACTGTGCTGGTGGTTTACGCTGAGGTCTTTGTTACCTTAAGAAAAGAAACAAACTGGTGAATATAATACACTTAACATAACATCATCAAAATTAATTAGACCATAATGACACCAAGTCACTGTTAAACCTTGGACTCGCCATTACACTCTATAATAGTTAAGTCTTCCAGTTACACAAACCTAATGAATCAGTATTTAAAGTATGTAAACAAGCCCCCCGCCCCCATGTAGATATAAACAGCTCATTTTGGGGTTACAAGATTCAGATTTTTCACTAATGACAACATGAATATTATATTCCATTTCTGCCCATAGAGCCTCCAAAGTGGTACACACTGGACCCTAATGTGATGTTATTTACAGTATAAATGTGTAAGGACTGCACAATGCTCTCAGCTCACATGCACAGAATCACAGATGACACTTTTTTACTGCCTTTAAAACCCATCTGAAGATACACACTGGTTAAAGGATACTGTGAGACAATTATCAACTTATCTGACATATATATGACTAGTAATTCCAGATGTTTGTAGTATCTCTTGTCTATTATATCTGCCCCCATAAAGATAACACATGGAGGAGAGATACAACACTACAAATACACTTTTTGTGTGGTATATAACTAGCTGATAATGATACAACAATGAGTTTCAGGCAATAAGTCGGGTAAAAAGCGATCACTTTTTGTGCCTTAAAGCCACAGAGATGAAGTAGTGTTAATACAGAAGTCTGATTTCTATTTCCTTACCCATGTCTGGCATTGAGAGTGTCCTGGTGTGGCCCCTGCAGAGACAAAGACAATAACAAGACAAAAATGTAGTATTCATCAAAAATGAACAATTGAATCATGTAAATTCAGGATAGTATGGACTTACATTGGAGCAGCAGTTTCAGGGGGAGGGGAGAGAGTTTCATCATCATCACCGGTCCATTCCTCACTGTCATCTGAGACTGAACATGTCAATGTCAACATCAATCTGCTGCAGAATAACTTAACTATATCCTGTTATTATAAGTAAGAACAGGAAGATACTTACAACTTTCTGCTGATAGTGGATAGTGGTTTGAGGCCCTAAGAAAAAGAAACAAAACAGCTATAAATCCACTCTTAACCTAACAGTGTAATACACAATGACTGAGCAGTTGCATATTTTGGTTTTTCGTTGTATTGTCTGTATATGTCACCCCCTGTGCACACGTACCTGCTGCCTGTGCTGGTAACCTCCGGCTCAATTACATTGCTGTTGCTGCCCATGCGGGTGATTGCAGCCTTTTTTCCCAGCTCCAACATCTCCTTGATGTCCAGCTCCACATGATCCACTGAAACATACCCATCTGAAACAAACTCACAGAGTCAGCGGTGCAGTTCACAATCAACAACTGCAGCAAGTTACTAAGTTGTCCGTCCCTCTTGCAAAGATATAGTTGCATCCTCCTTCTTTATGCATGCTTTTACTCTTTTATTGAAACTCACAGTTGTTGCTGCTGTCCTTGGCCAGCCATTTCCCTTTGGGACAGTTGGTAGTTCGAATGATGCTGATCATGTCACCGCTCTTGACGGGCAGATCGTTCTTACGTCCCTTGGTCGTCGCAGTCACTTTTGCCTCGTACATGGCATCCTCATGTCCTGTGATCTAACAAATACAGTGGCAGGTTACAAACACACACACACATATACATACACAAAAAAAAATTCTCACATAAACACTGCTGCTATAGAGAGTGTGATAAATATAAACTTTTTGATAGACCTTTTTCACAGCAGACATTGTGATATGTCATAGCAGGGAAAGCACAGGTGTAGTTAATAACATGAATCAATGATGTCTGCTTTCCACTTAGGAGAGGTCCTGGTGTTGTGCCTCACTGGGACACTTAATGGAACAGAGCCTTTGTTAATGTCACTAATTCCACCTGTGCTCTTCCTGCTGTCACATGTCACAGTGTCTGCTGTGAAAAAGGTCTGTCCTGAGGGGCTTCACACTTAATGACATAAACTTATTGTTGCATTGTTTACAATACATTGATATTGCAATAACAAATATCCGTCTCTTTAGTGGCCAAATGCTCCACTATGTCCACCTGCCAGTCACTGACTTTGACTGTCAGCAGTTGGGGTGCTGGAGAGGTAGTTTTGCTCAAACAACGGGTTTTAGAGTTTAGTTTTTTTGGCTGAAAATAGCAGCCAAAAAGGATGCTGTTAGAGTGGTAAGAGTTGACCAGAACTATAAAGGTTTGGGCCGGACAACCAAAACAAGTTAAAATTTCCTAGAATGCTCCATAGAGCTGAAGGAAATTACAGAGTTGGACGATAATTCTCTGTGGGTTTATAGGGACCTTGTTTACATAGAAATCATGTGATATAAAAATATCGATTATAGATACAGTTTTAAATATACTGGGTAGTGTGTTATCATCTGGCTTCATTAATGTTGATTAGAAAAGTATATAGTGCCAGTTATTTGATAACCACAATGTATCCAATTCCTCCTGTTTGGCCATGGGTCTAGATGAGTTTTTCCTTCAGGGACCCCTTTTCTGCCATTGAGTAAACTGACGACCCCTTACTAAGTGACATATTTTATGGATGTTTCAAATTATATTCAGTGCATAACAATAACAGTACAGAACAGACCTGACCCCCAGACTGGGAACTACTGGTCTAGATTAACGTTTTTGAATGTAAGCAGGACCCGATGGATCCTGGAGAAAGTCATTTTCTGATGTTATAATATGGTAGTAATATATCACAGACTAAAAGAATAGTCCATAGATCTGTCGGATACATTACCAACAATGCAAAAATGTTTACACAGATTCCTTTTGAGCATGCTTAGCGCAACTCTTCTACAGGGAGGAATGAATCCAGACAGGTTTGTAAGCCAAGACACCCTCCCCTACTGATTGCTCAACTTCCATACCTCACTGTTCTGTCAAAATAAAATCACTCACTTTGAATTTCTTCTTCATCTCGTTCTCCTTCTTTTCCCTCTCTTTTTGCTCCTTCTTTTCCCTTTCTTGCTTCTCCTTTAGCTCCTTCTTCTCCTTTTCCAGGCGCTGCTTCTCTTTCTTTTTCAGCTCTTTCTCATCTGGTCCTTCTGCAGCGGCTTTCTTGTCAATCCTGCAATGAGAGAATGAGGGATATCATCTTGTTTGTAAGGGACTCCTCACTGCATGTTTGAATGGCAGAGGAGATTACGAGGGAAACAAAGGCAGATCAAACTCTCTCATCACTGACAGTGTCTGGGGGATAATCGAGATGAAAAAAGAACTGGGTCAAAAAATAAGGCCTTACTTGCCAAACCTGCCCGTCTTGCTTTTCTCTTCATTCTGTAAACACAAAGAGATAAGGCTTGATTCATTTTGAACTAAATTGTCAGAAGCTCCGACTGATAAGCAACACTTATTGTGAAGAGAAATAAATTTTTCATTTAAAAAGTGACTCATTGTTCACAAAGATACTTACTGTTTCCTGTTGTGCCTCAGCGTAAGGATCTGTGGAAAACACACAGTTGTGCAAAAGGGTCAAAATTGTTTAAGTCAACGTAGAGTACATGAGAGGTTCACAGCATATCAAAACATTATAGGGTTCAGTTTTGATACCATCCTCAAGATAGACATACACACAATAACATTATATATTCATGGATATGCTATGCAGTATACATAATATCTATATATATCTGCCTGAGATGGTCAAGCAGAATTCAATAGTTCTGGATGGGTCCAGTTTGATACACATTGAGAAATACTTTTGTTTATCATAATTTAATGGAATAATATTGTGGTCTACACCTCTGTCATTTAAATTCATGGTTATATGCAAATACTAACTAAAGGATATGTAGAATATTTTAGGGAATCCAACTATTTAGTTTAATGTCACACTTCATTCAGGCACTATCACTCAGCCAAATACACTGAACATAAAGTGTTTACTTTATAAGTGATTTAGATATCTTATCTATATAAATGCCCTGATGTGATATGACTGATTCAAAAATTCCAATTCGCTCATTGATAATCAACTACCAATAACTGAACAGAGTTCTTACTCTTTGGTGGTCCTTTGCGTTTCTTGCCACCGTCAGTCTTTCCTTTCTTCTTGGTGGCAGATGTGGCAATGTCCTCATACACATTTTCTGTGCTCTCATAGACATCGTTGTTCACTCCAGCTTGAAGCCTGAGCGAGTGATTGGGAAGGAAGGACAAACAGGAATCAGAACCAAACTCTCAGAGATGAACGAGTATTCTAAAGCAAAGAGAGTAGAGTTATTCATGTTTCTTACTCTGCCTGTGGGGAAGATTCCTGAGAGGTAAGGAAGGAGGATTCTGGTTGTGGAGTATCTCGGTCTAGTGCTGCATGAACCTCAGCTCCTGGAGTAGTTATACCGTTACTGTAAAACTCTGGCATGTTCTGTACATCTGGACTATCTGGGCCAGTGTACTCTCCATTCCCCCAGTCTGACGTCTGCAGACTGGAAGAGTGAGCATCTGAAGCCACATCGTCAAACTCTGGGAGATCCGTGGTGTCAGTCTCTGAGAATTCAGGAGGAGCAGGGATCTCTGTAGATGAGGTGAACAATATGAAAACAACATTAGTGGGGCTGTTTAAGTTTAGTTTCACTAAATTGTAAAGTAACGATGGCCACACCGTTATCTTCCAGAGAAGGAGGAGAAGGAATGAATTCACTCAAGTTGACAGAAGGAGGTCTGTCTGGCTTCGCTGGAGCAGGACCCAGAGATTCATGGTCTGGGAGGACCTTCCTGGGTGGAGGAGGTGGAACCATCAACAGCTCTGGGACAGCGTCAGACCCTTCCTCAGTGATACCTTCCAACACTGGAGAGACTTGCCCTGCACAGAATTACATGGAGTTAATACATCAGTATCAAAATCTTGGGACTTGTTTGTCAGATATTTTCTGTTTTCACAAAGTCTCGTATTACAAAGGAAGAGACGTCTTCAGTATAGCAGCGAGACTTGCATTTGAACACAATGCAGTAAAAACAGTCAAACACCTGGAAGAAACTCCCAAACACAGAAAGGGAGAGAAGGCAAAGGCAAGTTGGGTGGAAGAGTTTGATTTGTGAGGAAACCAAACCAGTCAAACACACTGTAAAAGTTGTTGTGATGTAACTCTGCAGAGCGGAGATAATGCAATTACGAGAGAAAAAACAGCAGAGCTTAAAAAACGTACAACAGACCTTAATTCAAATGTATGTTAAAGAATTATTTGTATTTGTTCTGTAACACTGAGTTTTAATTTAATCTAATGTACTTGTAAAGCCCTCTGTTCTAGAAAAGTGCAATATAATTAAATTATTGTATTTTTCTTTCTTACAATGCAATATATACCTGTCCACATTGCATGCCCATTGAACTGTCCTTCAAATTTGATCACTTTGTATTGCACAATAAGTAGTTTTAAAGATCAGAAGACTATCATTTTAAGGAATCATCTTGAATGATTTGACTTAGTGTCAAAAATCCTTCTGTACTGAGAGTTATCACAAAGCATATTACTTTACTATAGTGTAGGAGAACTTAATGAAATGTTAAATGGCATGAGGTCGTTTAAAATTAATACATGCACAGGAACACCTACATACACCATTAATAAGCTCTGCATAAATGAAGTTGCTGTCAACACAACACCAGACTCACTTCTTATCCTATGTACAGTCAGTTTAACAGACATTAAAGTGTTTGTCACTGTAGCTCTCTGACATAATGATGGACACAGTCCTGTCATTGCTCCTCCTCTCTGTCATTGCTGACATACCTCTGCAGCTCTGCCCTGCCTGCTGCTCAGTTGTTTTTGGCACAAAAGAGGAATACCAGCACTGTTCTTAAAGCAACTTCTCCTAACCAACACCTGAGGGAACTCTGTGGTGTAAACCATACTATACATACCACATTCTCTGTATAGCTGAAACCGCATAACAACATGTTCTGCAGGTGCACAGTACGTACCTGATGGCCTGATGATGAAATATGCTGTTGTGTACAACATGTTGAGGTAAACAGTAAAAAAAAAAAATCAAAAATACCACATGTCCACAAGAAAGCATGAAGCAGAGAGGAGAGGAGAAGAACTGACTAGTCCAGACTTACGGTGGTCAAAGCCGTTAAGTTGTGCCGTTTTCAGGAGGGCGTTACCTCCCCGATCCTCATAATCAATGGGTGGGAGATCTGGGAGAGAGCAGGTGGGACTCTGAGGAGGGGGGAGATCTTCTGGAGGTGGGGTGACGGAGGAGGAGGTGGGGTGTGTCAGCGGGCTGAAAACAGATAATTAAATGCTAAAAGTTACTAAATAGTATAAATCATCTGAAAATTCTGCCACGGCCACTCTTCACAGCTTTAGGTATAGAACTTTCTTCTAACTGTTTACCTAGTCTTCCTGCGGGCCTTCTCCAGAGCATTGAAGATCCTCTGGTCACACTGAGAAGTTCTTTTCGCTGGGTATATGTCCTCCGCCCTCTCCAGGACTGAGAGGGCTGAGATCGGACGCTCGTCTTTAGGAGACATCGGAATGGATGGAGGGTCTAGGAGCTGCTCCACTGCAACTATGTTTACAGCCTCTGCACCAGCCTCTGCTGCAATCTCAGGCTCAGGAAGTGATGGAGAGGGAGTGGAGGCCACTGGGGGAGGACCAGAGACGGCACGACTGGGTGGAGGGGTTGGGACAGCGTCAGGGGGACTTGGAATAATTTCATTTTGGCTGGCAGGCCTGGAAATGGGCAGGGCAGGAGTTTCTATCTCAATTGGGGTTTCACTCTCTGGGGTTGGGACATCAGCCGGGATATCAGGAACAAAGGCAGGGACAGTGGAGGGCGGGGTAATTTCCACTGCAGCACTGGAGTCAAGTAAGGTGGGGATGTTTGGTAGAAGGGCCTTTGGTGCAGAGATTTCAGGCTCTGGTGGTACTTCACTGAATTCAGAAGGTACTGGGATAAGCGGAGCTTGAACAGGAACGTCTGAGCTAGGGGCATCTAGGATCGGATTTTCTGGAACCTCGACTGAATTTCTTTTAGATGACTTCTTGAAAACCAGGAAGCCCTTCTTCTTTGATGTTGTTGCTTTAGGTGGAGGCGTGGCTGGCACCAGCTCTGAAGTGCTCTCCTTAGGTGCTACATGGAGCAATGAGAACCTTTTGTCCTTACTGTGCTCTTTCTTCTGCTTTTGATCAGATGGATCCTCATCAAGCTTCTCTTTGCTTCCCTTTGTTGTCTTGTCTTTACCCTTTCTCAACTTCCCCTCACTCTTGTTTTTTCCCTGAGAGTTAGCCGGGATGAGAGGCATTTTGCTCTCCTTTGTGTCATCCTTGAAGACCACTCTGGGGGCAATCAGTGCCTTCCCTTCCAGGCTCTCGTTGATGGAGGTGAGCAGGGAAGGGCGTGCTCCTGCAGGGAGGTAGTGAGGGGGGCTCTGGGGAGGAGGGACAACCTTTGGTTTCTCTGGGAGAGCAGGTTTGATCCTGGGTTGCTGCTGCAGGAGTATTTCTTGATCCTGGAACTTGGCCCTCAGGGCTTTAAAGTCCATTGTGTTCTCCTGGTTGGAGGCAAATACATTATATGTTCACTCTTAGATAAGTGGTCTGAGATCACAAAAATGTCTGACACTTGTTATTTAAATTGAAGAATGAAACCATGCTAATGAATCCCCATTCACTACACAATGGTGGTTTGTTTTTATGCCATCTATGTATCTATGAGTCTCCCTGTAGAGTTGAATAGAGAAAGTAGGCAGACCTGATTTGTAGTGATACGCCTAAATCTGGAGGCTTAATCACACACACGACACAGGAGGCTCAAATTTGTATGATTAATGTAGTTACTGGACTATTATTCTATTCACTGTACAGACACTGACTCAGTCACAGCTCACTCAAGATTCATATATGACAGGAAGCAGACTTACACCGGTTGACACAATATAAATGTCACAATAATCAATATTATCGTTATTATATAATAAAGGATCGTTAGACACACTACGGGAGGATTTAAAGATATCAGAGAACAACATACCTGATCCATTGTGTTTTGAATGATCCACCGGAACGACAAAAGCCTTCTTGGATAAGTAAATTAATTCCAGAGAGTTTCTTCTTCAGCCTCTCATTATGTGGCCGATGAAAACATACCGTTAAGAAATAGTCCCAGCACTTTTATCGACCTGTCCCAGCTGTGTGTGTGTGTGTGTGTGTGTGTGTGTGTGAGTGTGTGTGAGTGTGTGTGTTGTCCTACACTCTGACCGAGAGAAGTGTGCGACCCAGGCGCACAGGAGATGGTTTCAGTGTAGGAATGAGGTCGAGTAGGAATACTCACACTCATCTTTAAAAAACCGTCCGTCCCGTCAAACGGGTCTGTACCCGGTTGAGCATTTAACACAGCACACTGACTCTCAACAGCTCTTGGATTTTTTTTTTATCCCTCAGGAATGTCGCCGGGTTGGCACTGCGCAAATGTGAGTCACTGACATGAAACCTAACTGGAGTTGTTTTTCTTAAAACTGTAAAATTTCATCACACACCAAGTCATGTGCCTGCTGTGTGGCAGTGTATGTTTCTGTTGTCGTGAGGAGATGCTGTATCTAGGTAATATATCATCAGATCCGTGGTCTGTTGTCTGGGGCTTAAGTTTAATGGTGAAGGTAAACATAGAGGAAAAGGAAACACAAGAGGTCGGTCAACATTCCAGTTTTGTTACACACAATACCAAAGTATTTGAGCAGCCATTTGTAATATGGCATATACACACAGCACATCCAACAGACAGCCTTCATAAACCGGCATTTAAGGATATTCTGTCTAATTGCCAGCCACAGTGTGGAGGTGGGTGTGGTTAACAGTCAGCTGCAGGAGAGAGAGAGAGAGAGAGAGAGAGAGAGAGAGAGAGAGAGAGAGAGAGAGAGAGAGAGAGAGAGAGAGAGAGGTGTGGGGAAGGCTTGTGAGAGCAGCACCAGGTGAGTGGATTATCTCAGCTGGTACTCATGAAGTACTCACACTCACCTCTTCTAAGGCAGTAGTGTGCTGGACCTGGAGGCCGACACATGTGACAGAGGAGACACAACAGGAGCAGACCTGAATGGACTTTTGGAAGTTGGCTAAATTGTGTGTTTATTGTGTGTGCGGCGGACAAAAGAATAAAGTGGTCTTGTTCATTAATCCCAGTGGTTGGTCTGTGTGCTGGGAGAACCCTCAGTAGTAGCGAGTCCTGCTACACTGAGCTTGTACTGACAGGTGTTAAGGCCTCAGCTCAGATCACACACACAGAAGTCGTTGCTCTTCATTGTATGACTTATAGGCCACATGCCAGTTCTGACATACTATACCTGTATGGGAGGATTATTTGGTTCATTAATAAACATTATTAAACATATTATATGAAACTTGCACTTAAAAGGTCAGTACACCTTACAAAAACACACTTTTCTGCGTACCATTGGTTGTATCCAGGTATTGTTTTCTATTCAATTTGCTTAAAATTTCTGGCACTATATGAAGGTGAACTCCAAAAATAATGCATATCCAGACTTTACTGTTGACAGCTTTCAGAGAGTTTTCACAGAAGAAATAATACCAAAGCAAACTGCTGACAGTGAGGATTGTAGATTACCCGGTAACTGGGACAGTGTTTTTGGAAAGACACACTGCTGTCAAATGTAATTTTTCAATGCTATGAGCAGTAAGAACAAAATGCCATTCACCTCAACAATATGTGGGTGGTGGCAAAAACCATACAGATGAATAGCTCAAAACCATTTAAAACTGAAACTTACTACATGGCCAAACTTTAGGTGAGTGAGAACATGTTTGTGTGTGTGTGATTTTGGTAAACCCTTTAACAATCAGTGTTTCAGTTTGTCCTGTAGGATTGCATCAATATGAGATTTTAACCATCTCAGAAAATATAGCTGTATTGCAGTTATTTTTATCATTATATTATTATGACCCTTAAAAGACCATTGTGTACAATTTAGTGTAATCTAGTGGTAAAGTTGCAGATTGCAACCATTTGAATACAGCTCAGCCTTCCAAGTGTGAAGGAGAAACTACAGTGGCTGCAAAACTCAGAAAAAAAACATTGCAGTTCAACATGGCAGACTCCGTAGAAGAGGACCCACTCCTTCTGCAGATAAAAATGCCTCATTCTGGGTGCCCGGGTTAGCTCGGCGGGTGGAGCTGGCGACCCATGTGCCGGGGCTGAGTCTTTGCTGCAGCGGCCCAGGGTTCGAGTCCGACCTGAGGCCCTTTGCTGCGTGTCATCCCCTGTCTCTCTGCCCCCCTTTCCTGTCTGTCTTCAGCTGTCGTATCAAATAAAAGCCCCCCCAAAAAAAAAAGCCTCATTCTAAGGTTAACACAATTCTTGTTTTCAGGTGATTTTCAGGTATTTAATTTCTGCCAATAGATCCTCCTAAATGTTACACACTGGAACTTTAAATGAATGAAAACACATGAACAAATGCTTTATTATAATTTCACAAAACATTATGTCCTATATTTTTTAATAACAGTAATACAGTAGATAATTAGATAAACAAATGTACACAGTATGACAGCCATCAATTTTCCTACCATGTTATCGCTATACCACTGCAACCCTAATCCTATATAATATGAAAGTTATTGTGTTTCCCTTTTCCACAGGGAGGAGGGGAGCAGCAAAGTAGGAAGGTTGAAGTCCTTGTTTTGTAGTCAGTTGCTAATAAAGCTTATGACAGCTTGCATTAGAGGCTGCCAGTGTAGCAGAATGTGACAGACCATTAAAGCCGTGTTAAATTACAACAAAATACTGTGGCACTTGCTTTACACTAAGTAAAGACTCACTGGGGGTCACCTCTGCCAGGCACACACCATTAGGCTCACTCTCTTTCACACTCACGCACACACACAGATTAAAACCAAGACAGAAAATAGACATATCAGTCATTTGGGATGTGTTTATTTGTAACAGTAATACATGGTGGAATACGTAAATCAAGAGAGAACCAAAAAATCATCTAAAAACCCACTGTAGAATGTCATATTCATAAAGATAAAAATAATGTGTCAATTTACATTAAGAAACTGTTAGCTGAGGTAAAGTTAAAATAGGTCTAGAAATGTTATGTACTCAAACAGCAACGTTTCCCTTTTTGTTCAACTTCTTTGCTCATCTTCTAGTTGTCAAATTTTTAAGTTAATCAACATCATAGTCCAAAAGAGTGACATGGGGACTCTGGCCATAAAATAGGGAGTCATTGGCATCACAGTTGATGTACTTGTAGCAGAGGATGCTGCAGTCCACACACAGACGCTCGGACAGCAGCAGTTTGGCACCTGACCAATAGACAGACAGATGGGCAGAACATCACTGTATCTTAAAGACTGTTCTGGGGAAATGGGATGGAGGAGATGAGCAGTCTGGGATACAGTGATGAAGACTGTGTCTGCTGCCTGCAACATAGAGTTGGAGTATAGGTTTGGGGTACAGAAACACAGGGCTGTGGTGTGTACATAGGCTTTGGGTAACACAAACTGCAGAAGCTAATTTGTTTGGGACAAAATAATGTGAGGTGGCGGGATTTGGAAAGACAAATAGGGGCAAGGTGTGCGGCTGGACCCAGGATTAGTAAGTGAGGTTAAGACAAAGACCTACAACATCCATGCACAAGAACAAAACAATATCAGAAGGCAACAAAACATGGTGGGAAAACAGGAAAAAGAAACATATGTTGGTATTGCTTGGGTTAACGTCAAGAGTTTGCATAACTGAAGCCTTCCTATTTTATGGCACAGAAGTCCGGCGGACAAAATGGTTGTTGTTATCATTATTTACAAAATGAGTTTGGCAAACCAACGATCAGATGCCTTAAAGCCATGTTAACTCCTATAGAGCTGAACCCAGCGGCTTGATTGACTTATAAAATAAAAATTCAATTTTTCAATTTGTTCTTTTTTTTAAATCGGTATTGTACAAAAGCTATAGAGAATGAACAGTTCGATCACAGAATCTGTTTGACTTGCAACACTTCTCTCTCAGGGTCCATTCCTCGGTATGTCTGGTCCTCTGGCCTCTGTGTGAGTCTGTCTGCGAGGAGAGACATTTGGCAAATCAATGTGTTGATGCATGTTCGAGAGGGTGAGCGATGACTGTGTATGTGGTCAGTAAATGTAGGCTGATTGCTGTGTGCACAGTATGTTGTGTAGTTGGAGTGTGAGTAGCTCCCAGAGAGTCTGTTTCTGCATAGCGATCCAGCAGACACTCACAAAGAATGGGGAGATAACGCCTGAACCAACCAATCAGAAGCACTGATCCCAGTAACAGGCCATCCCTGATAGGCCTGTTAAGAGTCTAGCTCCTCCCGTGGGATCTCCTCGCTACAGGTGCGGATTCAGTCAGTTAAAACGAAAGATGATCTAATCCTGATGAGCGTGCATGTGTGTGTGTGTGTGTGTGTGTGTGTGTGTGTGTGTGTGTGTGTGTGTGTGTTAGAGACAGGGAGGCACTGCTTGATTCAGTCCCTCCTTGACAGCACAGTCTCTGGGCCAGACGCAGGAGGCAGAGGGAGGAGCGTGAGAGCGAAGAAAGGGGGAGAGGGAAGGAAGAGAGAGAGAGGGGAGGAGCAGGATATGTCTGTAAGGCTGGGTGTGAGTTGCCACAGGGAGAAGAGAGGAGAGGAGAAGACAGCGCAGTGGAGGGAGAACTGGACCCATCTCGGTGATTGATATCCCTCCTGCCTGGAGTGAAAGACCGAGAAGGCTCTCTCCTCTGAGGAGGAGAGCAGACTGCAGCGAGGAGGAGGAGGAGGAGGAGCACAGGAGGAGGACAGAGGGAGTGTGGAGGCTCCTCCTGGGAGGTTGTTAGCCAGAGGAGAAGAAGAAGAGCTTGGCCAGGCAGGGAGATGTGTCATACATACACATACACACGCATAAGCACACGTACGCAGACACAAGCATACACGCACGCACATGCGCACACACGCACAAACACACACACACACACACACACACACACACACACACACACACACACACACACACACACACACACACGATGAGGGTTCTCCTCCTGTTCTCTCAGTGCTGGTCAGGTCTGTCTTCCTGTGTGTCTCTTTATTTCTTCCCTTTGTTGATCTGGGCGTAGAGAGGGTCCTTCCCCTTCTGTGCATGAGAGAAGACACATCAGCAATCTCAAACAGCTTTAACTTTTCTTATTAAAACCTGGTTGGATTAGTAATATCTGATCTCACCTGAATGTTATGCAACTAAAAGGTAGGACCTGAGTTTCTGATTCATTCTCTCAACCAACTGAACTGCAAGTATCACCAGCCTGCAAGCCCCGACACGTAAGACCCAACCCTGCAAAGGTTTGTCAGAGCCTGCACCTAATGTGACCACCAGGTGGCACTAGCATACTGCTAGGAGACTTCCTATCATTTCTCTTCTCAGCCCATTTAGAACTCCCACTGAAAAATTCACCTCTCACTCCCAAAACCTCTCTTTATGTGTGTGTGTGTGTGTGTGTGTGTGTGTGAGTTATTGTTTCTGAGTGTGTCATTGTGCACGCACATGCATATTCTCTCCCTCTCTCTCCAGGCTCCCTCCAGGACCAGTATGAATCAGAGGTATAAACTAGCGCCTTGAAAGACCAGTTATGAGTCATCATGTCTGTATTTCTCTCCAACTGAGCTGGAAGACAACAGTGGATGATGGAACACCCTGCAGTCAGAGCACCAAGCCTGCTGCAGTCACTCACAATGGGCCCGTTATTATCGTACACATAATTACAGCCAGCCACTCAATCTGCCATGCAGACAACTTGATTGGAGACCACTGACTGGCCTATTATATTCTGGAAGACTTCTCTCACTCAGTGCACAGAGAGAGAGCGAGTTTGGCTCTACCAGTAGCTCCCACGCGAGGATACGATGCCCAGTGATGAAACCTGGGGATGTGAGCAGACTGGAGTGATTTCTGAGCATTTCTGCAGACAAAGTGTGACATTCTTTTGAGCCCCAAAAATGAATCAGATACAACAGTTTGTGCTGCCACTGAGTGCTGCCCTTCAGTCACATTATACCAGTGAAATGTAAAGTGAATTTTAGAAGCAACATATAAAACTAAGGCAAAGACACATCTATGTAAGAATGTTTAACAAACAAGGTCTGGAGGAAAACAGGAGAATGTTTGATGAGCTGTTAGGTTTAAACATTCTTACACACATTTTTATAACATGCCATTACAGTGTAGGAAAAAAAAGATTTGTCAATTATTTTGATAATTGTCAATAAAGTTATTTCTTCTTAACAAACACACTAGGAATTTTTAATGGACATTTTCACTATTATCTGACATTTTGTGGACAAGAGAATTATCAATTGTGTTCTGTGTTCAAATTTGCACAAATAAAGGGGGATCTGCTTCATGTTGTATCTGAATGCAGTGGGATAGAGTGGCGTCTGGGGGAAAAAAGAAGACAGACTTTCAAAAAGCTGCTCCACGATCAAAATCACACCAAAACCTAGCTGTTGCATAATCTGCATGGGCTTTCATCTGAACAGAAAACTGGGGTTAAGGTTTGGAGCGATGCTTTAGCGGAGGCTTTGGGCTCTGGGATACAGAGCTGTGATTGTAGGGCCAGCCAAGGCCAGACAGTCCGCAGAAAGTAGCTGCCAGCAGCCCTGAGAGGTGACAAAGAGGTTGAGACAAGCAGTGACAGCAAGCACACACTGCTCACCCCCTGCACCAGAGCCACAGCCCGGCAGTGTCACCCCGCATCATCTAACCAGGGCTGCCAACCGGGGCCGCTTCAGCTCCATGAACCCCGGGCCAAGAGAGAGGAGGGACTGGATGGAGGTATGAGTGATGTGCTCGTGTAGCAACAGCCTGAAGGCCAAAATATCTGGCCTGGCTGGTACACGTGTGGACATTTATGTGCATGTGTGTGTGTGTGCAGTAGGCCCTGGGCAGGGGGGGAGCAATGTGAGATTGCTCAGTGAACCGTGGAAGCAGGCCATTTCACGGCTGAGACTCGGGAGCGTTCGCTGGACATGATGAGATCACCCCAGAAAAAACACTTACACTCCCACTAGCCTGAACACATGTCTGTCGTAGCCACACAGTGGGAGGGGGAGGACAGGACAGGCGGTCATGGCCGGCAGCAAACACACTCTCACTCTCACACACACACACACACTCTCACACACACACACACACACACACACACACACACACACACACACACACACACACACACACACACACACACACACACACACACACACATTTTTGGCTCCAATATGAGCACAGGTGGTGACAGTATCGATCACAGGTGTGCTTGTCTGGGGAATAACTGGGCCTATTGCACAGGTGTGTGCGTGTGTGTTTGGGAAGATGTCTAAAGTCGATGTGATTGAGCAAGTAAACACCATATGGGAGCAGCGTCATTGGACCAGGACCAAAGCAGTCCACCTACTACAGAGGAAAAATTTGATGCTTCTGGCCATAACAAAGTCGGTCTGCAGCCAGATTCACCACTCGGCACTCTACAATCCGTCCTCCCACTTAAGACTCGCATCCACCTGCTGCCCTGCAGCTTTCAGACCGTCTGAATATGAAGACGGTGGCCAACAGGGGAGAGAGGATGCTCAGCCACCCCTCCTCCTCTCCTGGAGTGGGGAAGGACTAGAAGGCTTCTTGGGTTTTAATTAATGCCAATTATGTCGGGGTAGTCATTAATCTTGGCACCCCAATATTAGCTGATGAAAACAAAACCATTACAATTTTCCCTGTGTGAGTGCCAGCAGCTATCATTAAAAAGGCACAGTCGGGAATTGTGTGGGTGAGGACACCGGGTAGGGAGCCAGGGATCAAAATGGCTCTCTTCTTGTGTGTGTGTGTGTGTGTGTGTGTGTGTGTGTGTGTGTGTGTGTGTGTGTGTGTGTGTGTGTTTCCTAGTGTAGGCAGACTACATGTTGACATGTCTCTAAAATAAATTTTTAAGCCTATGTAAGTTGTGTGAATGTTTTCCAGTAGGATCAAAGACACATCAGCAGCTCCCTGAGTTTTGATAGTAGCTGCTTGTCTTCATCACTTTGATCTTTGCACAATAATAATGTACATATTATGAGTTCATACATCATGTAACATACATAAATGCATAGAAATTACATCATGTATCATTTTAAAGTTAAGCTAAACATCCAAGATCAGCATATTGTGCACAACATTGACAAATCCCAGAAGACGTCCTGTTCACTGAAGTGCACAGACTCTGATTGGCTGTCGCACGCTATTGGCTTTCTCAGTGAGATGTGTGCTATTTAAGGAACTGGGCGTGATTTGGGTACACGTCACAAACACACGGCACAATGAGGGCACAGAATGGTATGGCCAAAGTGATCATGTGTGAATTACTCATCCCACCTTGAATTAAAAATACACGCGATGCCACATCATGATAGATAGATGCTTACGAAACACCAGCTACAACAAAAATGACCAACACACAAAATGAAACACAAGCAAATACTCATACATGCACAATCACACACATGAGAAACCACTCAAAGTCAAACACATGCCTTCCTTTGAGCATGCGTGACAGCAGGTGAAGGAGAAATGAAGAAAAACTGTAAAAATGAGAACTAAGATGCAACAGAGGAAGGAAAAGATGAAAAAAGATGCAGCACACAGAGAGATCAGACAGATTGATGTAAGTGGGAGGTACAAGGGCAGGGAGGTGAAGGAGGAGGAGTTAAAGGGGAGGAGAGGTATTGATACCTACCCTGCCCTGCTGCTATCTAGCTCCCAGCCTCTGGACTGGCCTGGTCTGGGCTGGGCTCTGCTGTCTCACTGGGGCAGGGCGACCCAGAACCACACGCCTAAAGAGGGGAAGAAGGATGGGAGGGAAAGAAGAGAAAAGCGTAGAGAGAAAAGTTGATGGAGGAGTATAAGAGAAGGAAATAAGGGGGGAGTGGAAAGTAGACAGAGAAGAATAAATCTGAAAGAAGGATTGTAGGATTGGTAAAGACTAAGAGTAGACGTAAACAGGAAGCAAAAGAGAAAAGGTGTCAATACTCTGAAGGAGAAATAAGGACACTTGGAGTGAGAAACCACAGCCCACACATCCCGTCTCTTCTCAGAAAACACACACGAGCACTCATTTACAGTTGTCTATTATGAAAGCCTCTGTGGAGTTTGTTCTATTGATCCTTTCCTAAAACACTTCCGCTTTTTACACCTCGCCACCGTGGGGAGCGGGAGGCTGTTTTTCTGCCTTTCGCTCCATCTTTCCTGTCTGTCTTTCTTTCTTTGTAACCTTTTCGCCACACTCACTCTGCACATTTCTCTGGGTTGTGTAAAGCTTCTGTGTGTTATTCAGGCCTGGTGACATTTTCAGCAGTGTGAAAGTCCTCTATTTTTTTTCAATAATAGACGGATTGGAGGCATAAAACTAATGTTTCACGCCTGGAGAGTGGAGAGCAAAAGAGAAGAAAGAGGCAAGCATGAAAGAAACACAGAAAAAAGACTGAGACAGAAAAATGGCAGAGAGTACAGGGAAGTCTTGTTTCTTGGAAGGTCACTCATTCTACAAGGACTTTGGGCAAAGGCAAAGAGAGCTTCTCCGCCCTCTCTTTATCTTCTTCTCATTTCCTTAATTTCTCTCACGTTCTCTCTTAGATGGAGGAGGTGCTGCTGGTAAAATAAATATTAATTGTCCCTGGAAGAAGAATTGGGGCATTATTCCTCTTCTATCTCACCGCAGATGAGTCTGTCCATATAGAAGTAGTGATGTATGGACGCTACCTGGCTGGTATTAATAACAGCTTAATGATGTCCCTGACAATTCCACCAGCTAATTTAACGCAGTGTTGACCAGGCACGCACACACTGAACAACATACTTATGCAGGCACACCACTGCTCGTGTTCACACAGAAACACACACTTCATGTGCAGTTCACACATGCACTGATACAAACGCACACACTAAGAGACACAACAGCATCGGCCACCTAATCAGCCAGAGTGATTACCTGGCCCGCCAACACCGCTACAAAGGCTATTTATCAGCAGATCTCAACACACTGTGCAGGTTATAGCAGCATAAGGATTGAGTTATTAAAGGCACACACACCTGACTTATTCCACAGACCTCTTTTACTATCGTCTCACACACACATACACACACACACACACTTACAGCATCTTCCTCTCCACTGCGACTAGGGCTGCCCTCTGCTTCCCCAAATGAGTCGTCTGTGGGGGGGTCTGTGGCGTCGGTGGGGGGATCACTGACATGGGAGGCTGAGGACTTGGAGGGAGAGCTCTGCCTGGGAGCTGGGGTGGGTGCTGCAGGGCAAGACAAGATGAGTCAGAGTCAGAAAGAAAAAGCTACAGAAAAAGCAGACAACTTAAGAGTACAGACATGAATAGTTCTTACGTGAGTTGGTGGATGGTGTTGTGGAGGTGACCGGTGTCAAATTCATTTGAGAAATGTCAAAGTCGTCACAGTCGTCCGTGTCCTGGGCAGTGCCCACACGGCTGAAGTAAGTGCTGAATGCCTCTGAGGTTCCTGCTAAGTTGGGCTGCTCACCCTTTTTCGACGGCATGGCCGGAGGCTTCGCCAGTTGAAAATCCTGAAGGAAGAGGCAAACATTAGTCAGTTGGGTCAACCTTAATACTGGGCACTGTGTGTATTTTCACTCACTGTGTGGGCATTCAAAATGTAACCCCTTAACAAGATCACTTCCTCAGTGTGGCTAACAGATGGGCTGTAGTGTCTCTGGTCTTGGTCTAAAGATGTTTTTTTCTATCATCTTGAACCGGAATCCAATGTTACAGCTTTTTGGACTCAGACTTGTCTCAGCCTCTGTCAAACTCCACAGAGGCTCTTATTAAATCTAGTTTGGTTTCGACCAAATTCCGGGTACAACCAGCCCCCGCTCTTCGGGATTAGGAAGCAAACAAAACAGTAAGAAGGCCAAGTTAATGCAACCTCTGTTGCATGTTGTTCCCGTCTCTCCCCTAATTTTAAGTCATCTCTTGACTATTGGCTATAATGAAACAACTATATAATTATGCAGTTTTGATGCTAATTTGCCCTTTTTTTCTTGCGCCATGATTTATTTGGATCCCTTTTAACAATTATGAGCTAAAAGACATTCACATAAATCGAATAAATCAAATTGAATGAAAACACTTTATAAAAATCAAAGGTTCTATATTTGAACTTTGTTTCGATTGTTTTCATGAAAACGAGAAAAGATAACAATACTTTTACATATAGCAATCCCCTCCCAACGCCCATTACCCTTATAGCACAGTAACATCTGAATCAAACAGTCACAGAAGAAAAAAAAAAGATATATATATATAGATATATGTTCTCAGTAGATATCGTAATTCTGGTCTCATTAGAATTATTTATTCATTAGTTCCCCACCTTGAACATCTCCTTGCCAATCTTCCTCGCCCTCTCCCCGTGCTGCGGACTTGACGACGCTGAAGGGGAGGGCGCTGAAGCGCTGGCTCCAGCACCTGAATGGCTCTCGCCAGCCGGAGTCACAGTCGTGACGGGGGTGAGAGTCTGGAACATGGCGGCGGGCAGAGTGCCCACAGGTTGGGCAGGGAGGTAGGCTGTGGGGGGGAAGGCTCCGGCTGCCATTGCTGCCCATTGCTGCTGGGTGGCAGGGAAGATGTTGGCCTGGCCCCAGATTAGAGGCTGGCCGCCTGGCAGCACCTGGGCTACCGGACCTAAAGGAGACTGGACCCCGAAGGCCAGCGGTGTCTGGGCAGCGAACGCCTGCTGGGACCAGTGGCCGGGGGGCACTGCTCCCATCGTCACATAACCTGATGGTGAGTGACAAGAGAGTTAACAGTTTGAGGTTAAGAAAAAATATACAGAAAATGTAGATATTGTAAAATCTTAATGATGAAATAAAAAAGAAGATAGGACAGGAAGTTAAAATACCCACTTATACCTCTTCTACACACAAACAGATAATAACCCATACATCACCAGAGAGTGCTGCCCTACTTCTGCCTGCAGATAATGCAGTGTCTCTTAATGGTAATGGTTAACTATCATAATTACCTCCAGAATGAGACAGAGTCATTATGAAAAGGCTGAGCTCAACACACACTCATTAAAATCACTCATCAGGAGAAGCTTATTCTATTACACACTTGCTAGTCTCCCGTTCCTGGTCTCCAGTTGTTACCTACAGCAGAAAAAGCTGACCTTTAACCTCGGCTGCCCTGCACCTCTGACATTAGAGAAAGTGAGGAGGAGAGGAGACGGACAGAGGTGAGGACACAGTATACAACGTCTAATTCAAAGAAGCCCTGTGCATACAGAGGAGTCTACACTACAATCATCTCAGCATGTTTTATTACTTTCCTCTGGCCGCCACAGTAGCCTCAGCCACAGGTAAATCAGCAGCATCTGAGGCAGCAAGCTAATGATGCATTTCATATTCAACACACAACCAATACCACCTATTCTCCTCTTTTCCCTCCCCTCATCTACATTTCAATTGTATTCCGTCCCTCTCTATTTATTTCAACCCCCCTCTTCTTCTCTTTCCTCTGCCCTCTGCCTCTGAATCTTCTGACTCTCCAGCTCCCCTTCATCTCCTTTCTCAACTCTCTCTCTCTCTCTCTCTCTCTCTCTCTCTCGCTCCTGCTGCGTTTGTTTCCCTTCTGCTTGTAGCAGTGGTGTATTTAAGCAGAAAATGAACAAGGTCCTACCTGAGGGCACAGACGCAGGATTGAAGGGAGCAAACAGTTCCGTGGGAGGCTGCAGGCCCTGCGAGGGGTCGAGGGTGTTGGCTGGAGAGGCGGGGGTCTGTGTGGGTTGTGATTGGCGGTCGGATTGAAGAAAAACAAGGGAAAAACACGTTGGAAATAGGATTTCATAAGATATAAATCACAAACTGTGTATGTATGACAGCTACTCACCGATGGAGAGGTGATGTCAGGTGGTGTGGACATGTCTCCAAAAATCTCTAATTGGTTGATATTCTGAGAAAAAGAGAAAGTATACACTACCAGTCAGGTACAATAACAATACTGTTGTACTATATACATTATCTGGGTCAGTTTACATTCCAGTGCGACATGCATCACACACCGCATGCAACACGACACTAGCTTGGTATGTTTGTGGTACCTACCTGAGCACTGTGGCAGCAACACGGAGGAGGTAACAGAGGGGTGAGGAGAGATGGGATAATGAGATGAAATGATTGATTATGATGACATACCTACCAAGAGTTACCACAATCTTTGTCATCTGCTCCACATCTACAATAGTGTTTGTGAGAACTGTTTGTATACCGCATGCATTGTAAGAGATTAACTGCTCTTGTATAGTTTAGATTTTCAATTACATTCTCTTTTTATTTTATATACTTTTTTTTTTTTTTTACTTTTCTCTATTTATCTGTACTTATTTCTGTCCTTGACACCTGAATTTCCCCTCTGGGCATCAATGAAGGCTTATCTTATCTCTTCAAAAGATGCTTTCCACTAGCAGGTCTAAAAGCAGGCTGCCACACCCCTTGCATCATTACTGTACCAGTGTCTTCTTCTGGACAAATCATTGATGTTCCCCTGTTGTAAAGGATGTGTGGTGTGCCTCAGAGGGAATAGCTTTCAAACACAGTAGCCTTTCTATTTGATCTGAATTTGTTCTGTATCTTTCTGTTTCCTTTCACAGTCTCCCCATGATCCTTCTCTTTAGTATCTCCCCCTTTTTTGCACATTAATAATATCTTTAGGCCGGTGGCAAGTGAAGGAAACTATTTTTAGTTGTGAAGGAATTTAAGCCTTGAATACATGGTCAGAGATTAGCATAAATCATGGATGCGGATAATTTCTTTTGAGATAATGAATGTTCTTAGAATATCTTCCCTCTCGTAGGTCACACATAGACCACAAAGTTCTTTTTAGATCTATCAGAAAATGGATCTGTGGGCATGGTGTTTTACAGTTATAGTTCTAGATGGGTATGTTTTTTACAAAGAGAGGAAGGTAATAGGAGGCTGTAATATGGACTATTGTTGCTGCAGAATCCAGCGCGACAGATAAAGATCAACTCAACAAGACGATAAGCTAGATAGCCAAGATACCCAAAATGGTGCATCGACAGGGACTGATAACAGGGAGTTAAATTCACTAAATGCATTTCTCTTCTTAAACTAAAAGACAATGAATTAATTCCTATAGTTTTTACTGAGTGTACTCTGAGTACATACCACAGAGCATTTGCTAATGTTCTTTAAACAGAAACCACAAGAAAAATGTCACTAGAGCAAGTGTACAGTACAAGAAGTTAGACGTTCATAGACCTTCTGTCCACTTTTAGTTAAGTCACTTGACTCAATATTCTTTACGTGTGTGGTAGTGGGGTGGTGGGGTCAGGTGGCTGTGATTATCAGAGTGTTATGAATGCTTTATTAATGTGCTCTGAGCAGCTTGACTCTGAGAGTGTGACTGCAGGCGAGATGACCGCCGCTGTCTGACTCCCACCGGTTCTCTGACAGACACTCTGACCTTTACGTTCACTCACCCCTTAAAGGGACCTCCGCTCGGAGCTACTGGGATGTTTTTCTCTTGACTATCCCGCTCGTCCTTCCACTTTCACACATGCAGGTGTGAACGCACGGGTGCACCCTTACGTACGGTACTCGGCTCTACTTCTGCCTCAAACTGGTTCCTATGCAACAGCAAGGTTGCATGTTTTATTCATAAATGACAGGGGTCAAGAGTTGGGGTGACTTACGACTAGAGAAGAAAAAAAGTGGTGCAGCACAGAGAAGGACAGGAGACAGGAGATCATATGCCTGACAAAGTGGTTCATGAGGCCTGATAAGTAACCTTTAGGACACTATGTTACCTGCTCATATATACTGAGCTTCTGTCTGTACCACAACAACAAGAGCACTGTGGTTTGCGCTATGTACGTATAGTGCCTTACCTGAGTCACCATATCCAGGTCTAAGTCTATCAGATCTGCCACTGCCTGCTGCTGCTGCTGCTGCTGCTGGTGTTCAGTTTGCTCTTGTTGAAAGGGCTGAGCATGATAATGATGAGGTTGATGATGATGGTGGTGGTGGGGAGTGTTTTGATGTCCGTTCTGCAATCACAACCCCAGTGTTAGATGGTGAGTGGGATGAAAATGTGCTCACACACCAACATATTAGTTGTTTTTCATACACTCAGAGAAAGGGTGAGACAGGAGGGAGTGAGGTGAAATGAGGCTTATTTAAGAGGAGTCTGAAGGTGTTATAGTCACAAAACACACTCATGTTCACACAGACACACAGGCACAGAGTAAGGTTCTTCTTGCCAGACTTAGAAGATTTAAAAGAAGGTTTAAAGATCATCCCTACCTTTAGTCTAAACTACAGCACTGAGCTAAGGTTTAAACCCTCTTTGTGTTTCTGTAAAGCCTGCTCCCCTGTGTCAGGAACCAGTGTGAGACAGACCGACAAGCAGGCAGACACAGCAAGAGGGGCTGGATTATCGAACATGCTGTATGTGAGAGCAAATGGAGGGAGTATGTTACATTATAGGAAAAAACAGCTTCCTTCCTGCTAGCTTACTCTGCACCATCACTAGCTGGATCTCTGTCAGAGTGAATACCAGTCTAAAGATTATAAAATAAAGCCGGTGTTGTGTTTATTATAGGTTTTTTTATTAGCAACATATCCCATGAAAAAGACAAAGCCAAAAATGAATCTATCCCACAAACAGGTGTCGTCTGTGTAGCCAACAGATGATACAGCTCGTGCCTTCATGCACCTAAACTAAAAACACATATAAGAGCAATACTGATGTATTTGCATGTATTCTGAACCCCAACCCCCCTTAAAAGTCTGACTGTACAAACAACGTGTAATAGTTTTTCCAGCTTATAGCAGAATTGTGATCGGTTCTGCCAGACCTTTCGCCAGCACTGGCACTGAATCATGACGTGCAGATTGGTCTGGCAGAGCACAAGTAGTTGGTGCACTACAATATTGCTGAGTGTATGCTTTTCTTTGGATGAAAGCATGAAGTATGGCCATCATTAGCTGATACTAAAGAACAATAACAGCTTGCCCAATACTAATCAGTTCTGGAAATGCTGTCCATTTTTCTACTGGCTGTTTTTCTGACAGTCTGAACTCAAATAGTTATTTTAAATCCAGCTGATTTAATGTGTACTTAACCTCTTTTTTTTGTGGAACATTTAAATTTACCCTTATATAAACATACAATATCTACTGTTGCCCTCTCTAAAGGCTCACTCTCTTTCTCTTTCTGTCCATCCGTTGCCCTGCCAATTATCCTTCTGTGCCCATTATACACTCTCACCATCTCTTTGCCCAGCCCTTTATCTTTATCAGTACAGCCGCCACCTATCAATTAGCCATCTCCAGGGAAACAGTAATTACCTGTGCACATGTGTTCTGCATACAATTATTGCAGCCCCTTTAATTAACGCCACCTTGCTGATCCCCTACCGTCTGAGTGATCACACTGGCACACGCCGAAAACACTGCTGAACCGTCACACGCAAACATAAACACACACAGACTCACAACTCTGATAAAACCCAACTAGACTATGCACATTTTTCTCTCCCTTTAAGTCACTTATAAACACACTTATGGGGATATTTTAACGCAACCTTTATTTAAACCCGGACAGTAATGACCCACTTAGGTATCATATGATATGATACCTAAACATAATATTCTATATCTTACTAATCCAGTGTTTGAGCAAAGCTGATGGTAGTGCTATGCTGACCTCTGCATGTGGAGTGAGGTCTTCTGTTGATTCAACACACTCTGATTTTACAGGGTCAAGGGCTCAGTAGATTGAAATGGCCTGTGAGGGTGTGTGTGTGTGTGTGTGTTTTATTGATTTGTCTCGTTTAAGAAGGTGACAGAGTAAACAACAGAAGAGACTGCATTAGACAGGAGGTCGCATTTCTACTGGCGGTATCATTTCATCTCAGGTAGTGTGTACAGACGTACAATACTGTCCACTGTCAATCCTTCTGAAACTCTCCAGCAGTACAGTAAATCCACTCTAAATAGCAATAGTGAGATAAATGCTGTGGCCTCTGGTCACTCCCAAGTAAGTGATGTCACAACAGGTACTACTGCTGCGTTCACAGCATGGTGGCTGAATAGCAAGAATGAGAAAACATTCAATTTATGCTGTGTTCACACTTTATTTAAAGATATTTACCCCCAGTACAAGCCCTGCAGTTACTCTATATAAACAACAGTGTTGCCTAAATGTGTGTAGCAGTATGAACTATAACTTAACCTAACTGCATTGTGTATGGTAGGGCCAAACAGCTCTTTTGTAATTTGACAAATTGATTGATTTAGTGTTTACAATGGATTTTATTTACATTATACTGCTGGCAACAGTAGCTTTGCAGCCATTTTAGCAACAGTCTTTGAGACATCTGCAGTTCTTTCCATTAAATGTTAAGATATTCTCCTTGAGGCTCCTCATATTAACAATATAGTGAATGCAGCAGTTGGATTCCTGATGGAAAAGACCTGCTGTGACATCTCTGACTGAGGTTCAACATACTTGAAAGATTCAACCTGTACAGATAGCACAGCGGCAGTTTTCTGCCCTCTGTGAGTCTGGATTTATCTTAAAACCAAATTCTTAAATTTTTAGGATCCATTTATATTTTTGTGATCCTGGGTTATATTTACTTCCTCTGACTGACTGGTAAGCAGAAAAGACTTGAATTTGCTTTATTCAAACCAGAATAGATGACTTGTCCAATTGGTTGCACAACAAGAGAGAAATATTGGATTTGTTCACGTTCGGACACCTGCCAACACCAAAGCAATCCAAATAGCAGCATGTGTTGTGGGCTGGGTGAAGAGAGAACAGAAATACTATGGTGCCTGTAAGCTTCTTACCAAAGCTGGGGATAATATGAAGCCAGAAAACTGTGAGACTGATTCCAAGCCTACCAAAATTCATAGAGTGGGATTGTGACTGCCAGTAGTGACGTGGAGGAGTCCAGTTTTAGCGGTTTAAGGATAAAAGACCCACTGCTGGGGAATACATATAGAGCTGGAAAGCTCTGGATGGACTGAAGGAATACTGATCTACAGAACAGAAACGTGGTATGAAGTGTTGAAATACAAATGCGCACACACACACACACACACACACACACACACACACACACACACACACACACACACACACACACACACACACACACACACACACACACACACACACAGGACAGCAGCCTGGTTATTGTGAGTGAAGATTTTAGCAGATTAAATCAGGCAGGGATATAACTAGTATCTTTATAGGCAGATAAAAGAGCAGCTGAGTTATAGTGCAGCCTGACAGTGGTCAAGGTCATCTTTCATTATAACCACTGGCAATGTGAGCCAATAACAAGAGCTTAAAGATATACCCTACATACGCACCCATGAGTACTGTAAACACACACACAAACAGTGATAAATATTTACACAGCAAACACTTACTTATATGCATGAACGAGGTGAAATACTGAGATATAGTTTCAAAAATCGGAGGCCATGCACATTTAAGCTCAGTATAATTTATATCCATTATAGGAAATATATGACAGTGACAAAACGTGTGTTGAGCGCAATCTGGCATAAGGTCATGCAGGTTTGTACTGAATTCACCACTGGCAAACCACAGCCAGGCATGCTTCATCAAGCAAACTGACACAACACACATATTCACACACAGTATCCCATTTAACCATAAGGAGCAGGCACCACGGAGCACACAGGGAACGGCACCAGCCACCACAGCTAAAGCACAAGCAGAAGAGTAGCACAGCACACTGCACAAGAGCACTGGGTCCCAGCAAACCTCTCAGGGAAAAATCACAGACACACCGGATCACTATTTGAGAGAGATGTTAGCGGGACTGCAAAATTAGAGCTTCACCAGGCTCTACAAGGAGAGGGCACCAAAGGAAGAGGCTTTACGCCTGTGCAATGGTGGGACAGCTGAGAGGTTTGTCTGAGAGGGGGAGGCAGGCTGAAGGGGGGGTGTTGGTGGGACACAGGGCAAACACAAGGTCACTCACTGGGTGTCGCTTTGGGACGTCATAGACCCCTTCCTTCTGCTGACTGGTGGGAACCTACACAATTGACCAATAAAGTCAGAGAACAGCCGAGAGAGCCTATTACCTCTGGTTCAATCAAACAATGACACAGTCTTTATACATCACAGTTACAGCACTGCGACACACTGGATGCCAACAGGAAACCCTGAAACCTGGCTCCTCAGGAATCAAATCAATCACTAGTAGAGTGTGAGTGTATGTGAGTGTGAGTGTGTGCGGAGATAATCAGAATTAAAATCTGTGAAGTGAGAACTCATCTAGTAGGCTAATCAGTTGACTATCGGCCTGCAGTGATGGTCTCTCTTTCTCTCCCTAATAAAGAATGGATAAGGCTGCTTATCACACCCACAGACATGTAATAACTCAGATGGTCACACACATGGAGACATGTAATATCTCTCTGTCACACAGGCAGATAGATTTGACAGCGTGTGCAATGAGGAGACACAATGAGCTCTGATAGCAAAATACTGATATGCATGAATACTGGGATCCCTATGGGTTTTGTTTCTCCTACAGTGACACAACGTTTAAAATAAAGTTTTGTTCTACCCTAGTTGGATGTGCCCTTATCAGTGGTAAATAAAAAATAGCACTGATGATGTAGCTATCTATCTAGCACAGCCTGCCCCATTCTTTCTCTTCTCCTCTATGCCTTGTTACTTCTTTCACATGTTTATTTCCAGAAGCTGCCATCTTTATTCATACATTAGTTCCTCTGTGGCTAGAGGCTGGCTGAGGATCACGTTTCTTACGCCTGATGTGTGTATGTGTGTGTGGATGTGTGGGGGGGTGTTTGTATGTGTGTGTTTTTTCTGTATGTGTATTGTGCACGCGCCAGCACTCTGTCTATTTTCAATCCATTTTATTTAAAGATCAAACGAGAGGCTGGTGATTAATCTTTCTTTCCCCCGCTTTCTTTCATCTCCTCGGGAAAAGAGGGAGGGGAGGTGAGAAAAAGAGGAGGGGTCTGCCTTCCACACAGCCCAGGAATAACCTCCACATCCCCTCCTCGCACTCTGTACCCTCCCCCTCCTCATCCCTCGGAGGTCTACCCACGCCTCTGAGGAGTGCACCCAGAGAAAGACTCATCTCCCTGGGCTAGCTTTTAGCTGTCAGGGCCCTCAAGAGAGTGCCGGCTGGTAGTTCGCCTCTGATGCCTACTGTCTTTTATTTCTTGTATCTACATTTTTATGAGTGACAAAAGAAGCCATTAATTTTATGAGCAGGCCACAATATACTTATCCCATTAGAGAGTGGTGTAGCTGCTACCTATTGGCTGGCAAATGGAGGATTAAATCTCTTTTTGTTTAAACACTTTAAAAATCTTCTTGCAGTTGGGAGCTTAACCACAGCTGACTACAAGATGACGAGAATATAACTGAGACCCAAGCAGACAACAAGAGCTTGTGAGTACCTGATAAATGCTCTCTTCTGATTGGTCACGGATGGGCTCGTGTCCCGCCTCAAACACAATGTACTACAACGTCAGCAGCGGAGGGAGGAAAAGAAACCAGAAGCGGAAAAGAAAATGGAAGATAAAGAAATTGAGAGAAAAGTGGTGAAATTGCAGAGGAGATTAGTCAAACAGCATTGTCAATAGATTTTTATTAAAAAGCAGTTGAAGAATAGATTCCCGTGACACATGGGGGAGAATTTAAGCAGCAAAAAGTCCCAAAGCACCTGAGAAAACATATACATCTTTCAGCTGATCATGCACCCCAACTGGCAGACATGCACACAGACACCACCAAGACCCACGATCGCACAGATTCGAACGTCCCCGACTGTTGTTGACTCCACATAAATACCTCCAGACAACTAACCCATCGAACTGTACATATTGTGCTATCACCACACTGTAACAAAACAGGAACTGTCTCCCCACAGTGCACACAGAGAGGAGCAAGCTGACTGGCTGGAATGCAGCAGGTGACAGCAGCAATGTGATTGGTCGGGAAGTTACCTGGTAGACTGGGTCCTCCAGATCCTCCTCCAGTATTGTCTGCAGATGAGCGGTGGCAGCAAGGAGAGGAAGAGATCAAACAGCAAAAAGAGGGGAGCAGAGGGGAGAAGACAGAAGAGAGGGAAGAGGCGGAGAGTTAAGCCGGTGGAGTAGAAAGAGTAGGCAGAAAGCACAGCAAGACATAGCAGCTTCCCAGCATTCAGATAATCATTTGGCAATCATCAGAGAGAGAGAGAGAGAGACAACTAGAGATAAAGAGAAATTAAACAGATGTAGAGAAGGCAGAACAGAGGAAGGTGAAATAAGCACAATGGGCAGATGGTGCCACTGATGAAACCCGAAAGCGGGTGCTCCGTATGTCATTCACTTCCTTTGATGTCCTTTCAAGTCTTTCTTGACTTGTCTGTCAAGAATCTTTCGGATGAAGCTCATCATACTTATGGCAGATGATAAAGGTGACGTCAAAAAAAGGGGGGTGGGGTGTGTTAGGGTTAGGTCACAGAGAGTTGGTTAAGTGTACCTGGTAGACCGCCTGCTCACACTGCTTATCTTTCTGGGCCTTCTTCTCCATCTCCTCTCTCTGCTTGATCTCATAGATGAGCTGGAACAAGTCCCGCAGGTCCAGAATCACAGGCTCAGCCTAGGAAGACAAGGACACATTATCCACCCACCCATTACACACACACACACACACACACACACACACACACACACACACACTGACTGGGACAAATTATACACGCTTATCATTGATCAGAGTTGAATTGCCTGCTTATTCTAGTTATGTAGTGGTTAATGTTGACTGACCTGCCCCTCCTGATGACAGGAGACTAAGGCCATGGTCAGACCAACATTAGCACTGCAACAAAAGAACATCATTCTCCTCATTTTAATTTAAATTAGACCACTGGATTGACACAGGAGTGTTCCTGATGCAGAACCTGCCTCAATGTTTGCTGAAACCTTGTCCCACACCCCGCTGCGTCACCAACATGTGCACCTTTCTGGTCAACAACTTTGTAATGTAAATGCCTATATCTACTGTTTGTCAAGACCAAGGACAAAATAATTGTTGTGATGATAATTTTTCAGAATTGTAAAATTCAGTGCAGTGTTCAGGCATCTGATAAGTCTTCAAACTATAACTCAAACTGGACTTCCTAGATCATATTTCATCTTCCAACCTGTGGCAACATGCCCCTTTCATTTTTCTAATTCAATGCATCTAGCAGTCTGAGCATCCGCTTAGGCAGGATGAGTCAGAGATACCTAATTTGGTTGCTGACAACTGATTATGAATGATTCCATTAGGCCACAAGCTGTAAAACCAAATGGCAGCAAACTAAATTTGAACAATTTTGCCAGTTCTGCAGGAAAGTTCGGCATGGAGAAAGAAGAAGAAGAAGTTTGTCTAAACTCTTTGATTAAAGGCAACAATGTCACTGTGATCAGTTAAACAAATACTTGCAAGTGACGAAACTCAGAGTTCCAGACTATGAATTTCTAAATAAATAGAACAGCCTCTGATTGTGATCTGGAAATCAGGTTAAGGTACACCTGCACACAAAGATATACTAGACAGTTGACAATAAAAAATAAATGAGCCTCTATACACGTATCTGCACAATCACTACACACACTATTCCGTCTCTAGGCCTAGGTTCAGACAGTGACGAGAGATACTAGCCTTTTGTCTTACCTTGTACCACCTTTCTTGTCAGGGGAACAAAAGTACAGACAACAAACCAGTTAGATGGCTCACAACTTATTACTACTGTCACAGTTAAGAATCTTATAGTACAATGGTGTTTCAGACCTAATCAATTATTGACTGGGGCTATGCGAAAGTGCACTAGGAGTTCACAGACTGAACGCTGCCTTGCATAAAGCGGTTCTATTTTAGTAGTGTCTTTCTTCAAGATGCTCTCAGCAGCATATTGCTCCTGACAGACACACTGGGGTAAACGGTGGCTCCTGCTGAGCCAAGACTGAAACTTATTGTCAGATTCAGATTGTCTTTGCATTTGACAATACATGCTCTAATCTCCATATTTTCTTGCCATCTCACTCACACTGATTTTTTTTGATTTTTTCTCCTTCTGTATCAAAACTTCGATGTAAGAGAAGACACAGAGAGCTGAGAAGAGCAGCGAATTGTAGAATCGTAAATGTGCAAAGCTTTGAGGATGATCTACTGTAGGAGGAGTGGCCAACTCACAAGACCATGAAGATGAGATAACCTCAGTTCAGCACTCTTGAATCAGATGACTAATTCATAGCCGGAGGCAACAGTGACGGATTATTCCAACAAAAAGTTGTGATTAAGACTTTTACTGCAGATACACTGTTCTATTAAAATCTGCACTGATCAGGATTTTTGGCTAAAAGACGACTCTCCCAGCCCCCTGGATATTAATGCAACAGATTCATCCTCTTTACCCAAATTAAATTCTGGTGTTGGTTATAGTTCATTGGCAGAATATCTCCAGGATGTTCCTGAATGTATCTCTTGGTATATTAAATTTCTCTCAACCTGCCTCAAGTAAATCAAATTCAGTTAGTGATTTCTTACATTTCCTAAAACAAATTTTGAAAACCCTTCAGAGAGTGTGCCTGAACATCCAGCTATTACAGCGATGATCACATAGTAAAAAACAGGGAGAAACTTTCAAACTGGACAAACTGGTACTGCACGGTATACTATACTCCTCTGAGATGGATTCTTTAATTTATAATCATTGAACCCACAAGCATTTGCTGCGTGACTCTGGGGTCAGGCTGACATTTCAGATAGTTAAAAAAATATTTTATCATGAAACTAAGCTGGAAATACTGCAGCAGAAAAACTGTCGTCAGTGTCTTAAGAATAAATGCAGTGATATAATCCTACATTTGGAGTGGTACCTTGCATATTACAAACTAGGTATTGTTTTTTAATAAATGTTAAAATGCATGAGGCTGAACTTTTCCATTAGTGGTGAAATGTATAGCTTGTTCTTAAGGGAGTGACCACTCTGTCCAGAGAAAGCTTGACTCACCAATGATGGCTGAACCACTTTACCACCAGGTTATTTTTCCTTTGCAGTTATGATTTGCTCATGATGGTAATTTTGTTCCAAGTTTTTCAACAATGTTGAAATAAAAGATTTAATAACTGCAGATGTAATAACTTCTTTAAAAAAACAGCCATTTACACTATGATGTTCTAAACGGACACCAAGGAGTCTTTAAACTCTCTGTGACCTTCCTACAAATTGGATACAAGGTTGCTTTTCTAACAACCTTATATTAATTACCATAGTAACTTTTCCTCAAAGTTATAACAAAGACTGTGATCCTTTCTAACACAATTAGTGCATTTCCATCTCCACCAAAACTTGCTAAATAAAACACGGCTTTCTTGTGCTGAGAGTTGAGTGGTAAGCCAATTACTTTCGAATGTAGCCCTAAATTGGCCTTTTTCCGAAACAACCTTATGACAGAGATGCGTTGTTAAGTCACATCAAAGTGGTTACTTTCCAATTACAGCCTCAGCCTCTGCAATAAGCTCTGTGCCTCCACCCCTGTCATTGTCAGCTCCACAACTAATAGTCTGAGTGCTAGTGATGGCGGGTTCAAACCCTGAAAATGCGGGGTAATTGTGACCTTTCCTCAGGCCCATGTCAGGTAAATGACAGCTTAGTTGACTGATGAGGGCTTAGCCATGTGCTACGCCGGTAGCATTTGGTTAGCAACAATTCTTTTGACTGCAGATCTGGTTGGTGTAAATGTTGAGTGCAGCCTGGTGTGTGTATGTGTGTGTATGTGTGACTGTGTGTATCTGTCTACGTCAAAGAGCCACGGTTCATGGCCCTGGGAGGATGGATATGCCATTAGAGCTGGTGACACACACTCAAAACTTCATCGACTCACTATGGGAAATCAATATGGCTGCAGAGCGAGCCAGCTGGATCCAGACTAAACAAGCACCTAGACACAACAACAGCAACAACAATCATAGCAGGTCCAAAAGGGTACTCAATATCATATAGAGTATGTTGCTGCAGGACTGAATGTGAACACACACACACACACACACACACACACACACACACACACACACACACACACACACACATACACACAACCTAGAGTTCTACAGACTAAACAGCTTGTTTGATGAACAGCACAAAGGCACATGAGTTGGTGTTCAAGGGTTGTTATCTAAATGTCAAGAGGTTTGTGATATTGAGAAAAGACCCTTATGAATCTTATGAATCATACATTAACCTATACACAGCAGAGTACAAACACAAACAGAGGGGGACAAACACTCAAATACATACACGCACACATATGTGCACACAGTTGCTTAACACACAGACACTGACCGACTGTGCGGTCTTGATAGCCACGAAGCGATGGTTCCCTTCCTTCCCGCAGACGTAGCCAAAGGCTCGGTGGTCTGTGATGTCCTTGGCAATGTAGGAGATCTCGTGGACCGCATGGTGGTGTTGGAGGACCTGAAGGAATGCACAACAAAAGATGTTTAATAAATCATGCCGACACAGCTGAGAAACTACAACTTTATTCTTGAGATTATTACTTTTTTCCTTCAATTTTGGACTTAAAGCTAATAACACGCAATTTTTTTGGTCTCCGTGGCCCCAATACTCATAACACACAAATGTAAAATGGGCAGGAAAATAAACAGGAATTTGAAAAGAATTTTTCATCTTTCTCAAGTTTGGTGCACTTAATATTTCCTTCGTGCTTCTGTTTGGTACCATGTAAAGCACTTAATGAAAAAATGTTTTGAAGATAGCACTTCATGAATGACACAGGAATGAGTATGACTAAACTAAGTTTCAGGTGTACAAAAAGTAGCTTTGTTTAGCTTAAAGTTAGGGACATAAACACACTTATTTACACACAAATATACAAAATGGTCATCACTTTTCCAAAAGCCAAAAGAATCCCATGCAAACTTCCTCAAGTGTACACACAGAGACAACCCCTCTCACACAGAGACCTTGTATCCTATATTAAACTGTTTCTAGCTCCCCTGCCCTCTCTAGTTTAGCCTGGGTGGGGAGTGCCAAGCTGGCATCGCCCGTGGCAGATGGCACTGTTTTTCCCGAGGACAGAGGGGGGGATCAGTGACAATCACAGCTCGGCAATCTGTCGACTTGATCACTTCATCTGTGCCCTCACTCACAACACACACAAACACACACACACAAACACAACTCACAACTTAATATGCAATAGCCTCTGTTAAGTCACACTAAATGTCTGCTTTGTTGTTATTGTCTATGCCAGCTGCATGCTGGGAGCAGAGACACGCAGTCAACATAATGACCCAGTAGCCCTTGAGTGCATGCTAGGGGTTGCAGCTCTATACATCAGAGGCTAAACACACACATCTGCTCTCTTTGAAGCTATTCCAGACGTAAGACATGGCAGAATAGAATGACACCAATTTAACATTGGCGCACAGACATACATACACACACACACACACACACACTGAGAACCCCAGCAGAAATAGATAATCATTGTATGAGTCATGTCTTCTAGATTTAATAATTAGAGTAATGATTATCATTATCACCTCTGATTGACCTGAAAATGACAGCTAAGGCAGTGCGCACACACACACAAACACACAAACACACACACACACACACACACACACACACACACACACAGACACAGACACATGCACACCTACACACACACACAGAGGGCTCATTTGCTGAGGTTAATGAATTAGCTCTGGGTGGGTGGTGAGGTGACAAAGAGGGACTCTGATTCAAAGAGAGCAGAGAATGAGATGACTGCATAAATTCAATTGATCTGCTTTGTCTTGGCACATCTTACAGTACATCTTAGAGTAGAAAGGATTTACACACACATACAGTCAGTACCTAGTTTTTGTCAGATGCTGCCCATATTACCCTTTTTTTTTTAATACAAAGTGCTGAAAATGTTCCCTAGTTCAACATTTAGTCGACATCTGGGATTAGTGCATGCCCAGACACTGCCACCTTTCTGGAACAGTGTTGTGAGGATATTATTTGTAAATAATAAAACAGGTAAACTGTTACCATGAAGAGCTGCACCTGGTCTTTCATGTGTGTGTAAAGGAGTCGTAAATATTCAGTAGGTAACCCTGGCCTCTACTCGACCTTAAAATACCTAATATATATCATCTATTCTATTTTTTGAATTTACTGCCAAAATCTAAATAGTAGAAATTTCACTGAAAAATAATTTTCTGTGTACTCGAAATCATAACCTTATTGCATTAATAATGAAACGGATGATATGGTGTACTACCTAAAGCTAAAAAACTGGAATGCAAACTGGACTTTTGTCTTTTCTAAATTCAAATTTAATAATTTGACATTTTTTTAAAGTTATCTGATAGAATGGATATTAGCAATCCTTGACTTCCATAGCAGCACTTAAGAAACACTCTTTAACTGTCCAGTTTTAATGACCACGAGATAATAAGAAGAATAACCTTGTTCTTTTCTTTTGCTGTGGTTTCCCCTCCATTCTACACTGTAAACAATTATTTTTTGCACACAGAGCTGGAACAAATGCCATTATTCTACTTAGATCTATTATCTGTGAGACATTTTTGCTAAGAAAACTGACTTACTGCTGCTGCAAAAACATAAAAAATGTTTCTGTTGCATCATTCTTGCTAATGTTTGGACAGAACAGTCAGATTAAATCCCAGGAGGGTGGCCGCTGCTGGAGCCGTCATGTCTGGCAGCATCAATCATCAGAAGCAGCTCAAAGTTGCTTAAACAGATACGTTCTCTGGGGAAGTGGATTGTTTGCAAAAACAGGTGGGTGTATCAAAAAAGTCGATACTGACTGTGTGTGCTCTCTCTCTCTCTCTCTTCTCTTCTCTCCAGCACTGTTGATATGCACAAGTCCCTCTCTCACAATCTCTCTCACACACACGCACAGTGACACTGTCTCTGAGGGACTGTGGGCAGCACGCCCTTCAGCTGTTGCTGGCCAATGAACCAAGATATTCCCTGTTACGCTGTGAGTGGGGAGGAAGGAGGAGAAGCAGCAGGATACTATCTCTCTCTCTCCTCTCCTCCCCTCTCTTCACATCTCCCTCCCGGAGGGGAGACATCCTCAAAGGGCCTGCGGAGACTGTCCAATCTCCAGCCAGTGGGACAGGACTGAGATTAGCAGTTAGCTTTGAGGTTCAATTAGTTCCTTGCGAGAGGTAGCACTGCTGTGGTTATTCATAAAGTGCTCTCCGTCAGTCACTGACACAAATACACATAAGCTGGCTTTGAAATAATGTTTTATAATCAACAGTTTGACACTGAGCTGGCTGACAAAGTGACTCAAAATAGTGAACACACAAACATACACAACACACACATAACAAAGTTCTATAAGGCACTGAAAAACCTGTTTCTCACTATGAGTGATGCGGTCCTACATGAACATAAACTTTTCTGCCAACTTTAGTTATTTCACATGAGATATTTCTGTATGTTTTGTTTGTGCTCTGTAACTGGTTTTAAAGTGTACAGAGCTTAGCTGGAAAATCTGATGTCACATACTACAGCGCATCAGGATTTTAAAATATTTGAACCACTGTCAATCAAATGATGACAAGACCACACCCACAAACTCCTTTTTTGAATTTAGTAGTCTGGTCTTTTCCGCGAATAGAAAACTCCTTGGAATTTTATCAGATTCATCAAATGGACTTTAAATTTGGTCAGTGCAATCTAAAGACATTCACAATTAAAAGTTGTGCTATTTGCGAATGTGCGTTGAACGGCATGCCGAATTTCGATGCTTCACCATGAAACAGTAAGTTGTCATAACTTCAATGTACTCTGTCCAATCTCAATGAAACATTACATATCTGATAAAAGCAGCACACCTTTTTGTGTTAAATTCTTAATAAATAATACCTAATTCTTATATGCCCCAACAAACCCCTTTTACTGCTTCTTTGTCTTCTCTGCTTCTCTGAGAACTTGTTCCCACCCTGTGTGTCACTCCCTGGGTTCCCCCGCTATGACACATCCTGGTCTACACAGACATATATTTTTATTTGTTTATTTTAACAGGGACAGTGCACAATTAAAAGTAATGGCACCACCACACCAATTCCCATTTGTGACAGAGTTCATCTCACCCACCGATCTCGACCCCCTTTCCTTCCTCTGCCCCATCAGTCTTATTTACATTGTGAGTGGGATCGGGTTTTTTAGTCAACATAAAGTAACAATATATCTGACAGGACCCAAAGTGAATGTATGGAAGGGTCTGGCAGTAAGTAGCACTATTTTTGTCTGGCTTGCCTTGCTGCAGCTGCATCTCTGTCTAACCTCCATAGGAATACTTTGCTCCGGGGTATTTTCTAAACAGCATTTTCCCTTGTGTACTTTTCTTTTTTTTACATAGTCCTTTATATTGGCCGAACTGGACTAATGTGATTTACTTTCTGATTTCATTCTCAGAGGGAGGAGCAGGCCGGCGAGCTCAGCCCTAACCCCAACTTTAGTGAGTTCCTGACCTGACGCGGTGCAGCGACCCTGACGAGACTGACAAAAAGGGTTGAAGAGGGTAGTGCACACGTGTCTATGTGTGTGTGTATGTATGTATGTGTGAGTCTTGAGAGAGAGGCTGACGGAGAGAGAGGCTGAAAGAGAGACACGCTGGCCTGCCCTCTGTTAGATTAATGTCTCCTCCTCTTCTTCTCCTCCATCTCAAGCACCACCTCCCTCCATCCTGCACGACCTTCCCTCCTCCAAGAGAGAGGCCATCCATCCATTCTTTCACCCATACATCCATCCGCCCATCTGGCTGACTGATGCACAGGAGGGGAATGAGACTGTCAAGATCCCTGAACCTCAGCAGAGTCATTCTCTCTCTCTCTCTGTCTCCCTCCCTCCCTAGCCATTAGAAGTGTTTGAAGGACTGATAGTAAGGACAGCATATCTCTATAGTTAATATTAATGTGTGGAGACAGAGGACAAGGTCTCCCTGTAGAGAGCTTTACTTTGACATATGCTCACTGATTCTCTACCTATCCCTCTAACTCTGTTACAGTCTGTCTTTGTCTCTCCCTCCCATCCTCCCTCCATCTGTCTTTTTCACATCCTTGATTCCTCTCACCTTCTCTTTCTTGCCCTTCCCTTGTTTCTTCTTTTCTACACCTTTTCCCCTTCGACTCACTACCTTGCTATCTATCTCTGGTTGTTTCTTATTATTCCTCTCTATCTTTCAGTGTAGAAAGTTTGAAGCATCGGGAAGGGGAATGAGACATGAGAAATGAGGGTTATAAAAAGAGGGATGAGGGATTGGACTGGTGAGGGATGAGTTTGGCTGCATGCAATATGGCTGCCACGTGGGAGGCCACTGGTTACTGTGTCCTGCCTGTCTAATCCCTGCACCGTTGAATTACTGCTGGGTACGCGCACACACACGCACACACACGCACACACACAGTGTCAGTGACATGCAGCTCCTGTCGAGGTGTAAATCTCAGACTTACCACGTCAGCCACTAAAGCCAGGTGCAGAGCAGCAAGCATCATATAGTGTCTAAACCAGACTACATTTACAATCAGTCTGAGTAGAGTGAAACAGACAGCTCGTACTGCGTATACATACGACACACACAAGATCAAATGTTAACGCTGTATCATGTTTTAAAAATAAGGCTGTTTTACTCCAGCTGCAAAGAAATCTCACATGCACAGACGACCGAGCTGAGCACCTTCTAACTTAAGTTGCTGGGATTTAATGGGACACTAATTTTCCATTATTAACACAAATGGTGGCAAAATGGCCTGTTTAGTGAGGCTGTCCTCCAACAAGAGCGCTAAGTAACCTGGGGTATGTGGCTGTTATATTTCTTGCCCAAGGATACTGTGACAGGTATGGCCAGTGGGGGAATAGTACCTCCTAGGACAATACCTGTCAAAGGATCCTTGAGTACGAAATTTAAAAAAGATTGGACACTTTCCCTTGAACTACATGCACAGTCGCTCCGCTACAGAATTTATCTTCTGTCCATAGAGTGTCTTCTTTCTGAGGGAATCAAGAGCCATCAGAAATTTTAAAAAAATACAAAAACCGGACATAGAGGAATGATAGCAGTCGAACAGCAAAGCCTGCATAGATACGGTCGGTCAACCACAAAAGCAGCCATGTAAGAAGGAAGATGAATAATCCGGGAGCATAATATGGAACCAGTGTTGTTGCTGTTTGCAGAGAGGCAGACAATGGGATAGCCATGTTCTCTCATCTACTGAGGCCTTGTTCTCAGGGTTTCAATTAGGGTCTCTTGATTTCCCCACGGGCCTCTCCCTCTCATGGAGATGCCTCATTAACAGAGGAAACATACATAGACACACATACACACACACAAATGCTGCATGCAGGCGCAGACATACACACGGACACACTTGCTTCTGAGCTCACCCCTGACTTCTCATCAAAGATCTTGATCCCGCCAAAGGAAATGGTCAGAAACACCTTCTGTTTGTGTTCTCCTTTTGACCGTGCTGCTGCAGCTATACCCTGAGGACAGAAAAGAAACACACACACAGACACAGAACCATGTTAGAAGCAGGACAGAAACACGTGCTGTGTAATGGGAATGTAAGTTCATAAAGAGTGTTTGTGTCAATAACTGTCTGTGGGATTATTATTACACCCACAGTGGCCACAATGGTGTATAAGTCTTTTTGAGTCATGCTTATGAAGAATATTACCAACCATGACTTCGACAAAATTTAATGAATTACTGATAGACAATAATGTATCCACACCCAATACCTGTTAAACCAAACAAGACTAAAGTACATTAAAGAATATATGTTTGAATTATGGCAGTGAAAGAACATTTCCATTATGGGAAATCTAGGAAATCAATAATAACAACAAAAAGTAGACAAGGCAGGTACAGCAAAACAATCCATGACAACATGCTTGAATTTACTGAACATGTTATGGCATACGGTTGATTTATAACTCTACATGTGTATATAAGGGTAGAATTCCCCTTTACGTTCACCCCACCTCCATCTGCATAGGTGAGTCATAAAAGGAGAAGAGAGGAGCGAGATCAGAGAATTGAGGGAGTTTGGCTAGGAGCAGGAGGAGCAGTATGAAAGAAGAGGTGGAGAGATCAGAGAAAAAGAGTTGATGGATTTCCTGTCTGAATAAATAAGGAGGAGGGAAGCTGTTTGATCAATGAGCTGTCTATCCTCTCCTCGCCCTCCTATGCCTCGGCTGGATGGAGATTTCACTACACAAACAAAACGTAAATGCAATTTTCTCAATTTAAATATCTCCTGCAGTATGTGGATCCCATGTGTTAACGGACATTTAATTATAAATAAGGCGCGCCCTTTCAGCAGACATTTGTGGAAAAACAACCAAAATCTAGGCTTTTTATAAAGTTTCAAACATTTTCAAGTGTGACATCATTTAGACATGCGCTTTTCATATGCATGCTACAGTGAAATATTCACTAAATCAGCTTGTTCATTAGGCCTCTATTTCTAAATGAATAAATAAATGGCCTATTTCTCCTCATCTTTATCCTCTCTCATCTCTCTCACACCTATCATCCAAATGATTCCCCTCCTATATGCCTTCTCTCCTCTGCTAACTGTCCCATCTGTCTACCTCTCCCTCTAATTGTTCCCATCCTTGCAAATGAGACATTCACCCCGATCCCCTTCTCATCCATATGGCTAACCCTCCTCACTTCCTCCTGCACAGATCATCGTCCTGCCTATAAATTATAACGTCCTCATTTTTTATCTCTCTTCTTCCACCCTTGTCCTTTGGAAATTTGCATAGGAAAAACTGCAACAATCTACACATGCAAGCACACAACGTCGCAGCTATGCTGTGATGTACAAAACATGTATATTTAAAAGTTGAACTTTAGAATATGCATGAAGGTGAAGAACTGCTTATGGACTGACAACTGTGTTGGCTATTGATGTTCAGCGTTTTTTGTGGGGCGTGGAACTTAATGCGGCTCTAGGCAATCACGTTACATAATTTCTGGGTGTTACATTTGTGTCCACATTTAGACATTTCTGACAACTTTAAGAAGCGTTAGAAAGTAAATTTTTAATTAAAAAAACACATCGATAGAAAGAAAAGAGATGAAGGGAGAGTTTCCTTACCTTGAGCTTCATCATCGAGTCCTGGCAGAGTTTGTCTCCACGGGCGGCAGTGACCTCGTCCAGGCCGATGAGCTTGGCCTTGTAGCGGACGCCATCGCCCTTAAAGCGCCTGATGAGAGCCGCCTCGCTGCGATCCTGCCCTGCAGACACACACAAACAAGCTCTCTGAAGTCTTACAGTACATCTTCCAGTCAAGGACCTCCATCTACCTCAGACCAGTGCTATTACCTTGGGATCATCAATCACATAGACCACAAAAGACGTCAACAGTAATCTTACAAAAAACACAACCATAGGACAGGTCAAAGCTACTGATGTTAGCAACATCGTGTTATGTGATTAAGTCAGAGCTTTGAACTGTGGTATCATATGAATGGCACCGGTCAATATACTCAGACACGTGAATCAATGAAGTTTGGCGGGATTAGAGTTAAAGCGGTGACTGCTCTCCTCTGCGGCTATTTCTCCTGTAAAATAATAGTGTGACATTTTGCTCTTATCTCCCCTGTCTCCCTCAGTCCTCCCTCTCACCTCACCCTCTATTGTGTGCGAGATTGTCGGCATTGTGTCCATGCATTAGTGAGCGTTGGCGATGGCGCGCGTGTGTTGACCTTGCTCTTGTCCAGGAAGTCTGTATGTTATCTCCTGAAGTGACTACAACGCTCCTCTTCACATACAATACAGAGCAGAGAGAGAGAATAGCCTTTCATAAGACTAAACTCACTTTCTTTGTGTTGTGCACTCTCCATCTTTCTCCCATTCGGTTTCTCTATCTCTGACCTGCAGTGCGCAAACATTTCATCATCAAATATTGTATAGGGGGAAACACTCCTGCATCTGTGTGTGGGTCTCTGTGCATTGCGTTTCTGAGTGTGTATATGTGAGTGAAAGACTGCAAGAGCGATAGTGAGAGGGAGAGGCATAATGATAATGCAGCATATTCAGATAATATATTGAGGCATTAGTTCTGTACTCTATAACAGCGTGACTCTTGGAAGGTCATAGTCGGAGTGATGGAGAGGTCCCACTCCTCCTCTCCTCGTTCTTTCACGCTCCCTCCATTCATAGAGCACCCTACAGCATTGCAGTATACTAGAAATGAGCCCTTTAACCATAGGCGAGAGCATCATGTTATATGGCTAGTGAATCATCCTTGTCCAACACTAATCTCTCACCTCCCTCAGCTTTGTCTGCTGGCCCACACATGAACACAAACAAACAAGCCCATTTTTAAATGCCTCAGTTGCATCACCTTAATCTTATTTACACTGGATTCTAGAGGTTGGACAATGCTTAAGGATACTTAAAGACACAAAAAGCCTCCTTTTGAACTGAATTATTCTGCTGGGTTCACCCTTGCATTAATAGCAGTGTGCTGTGAATGCCTCAAATAGCAAGTTTCAAAAGTTCAAGGCTGCCAGAGATCATGTTTGTGAAAATTCTTGTCTCCTTGTCCCATATGAAGGAAAAATGAGCACACTGTCTCAGAGAGAAACACACTTCCCTGTGTATTCCATTGATTAAAAAAGGACAGTAGATGAGCTCATTCCACTGAATCATTGAACAGGCACTCAGTCACAGTTCTACTTGGAGTAAATCATCACTGTCTGCCTCAAAGTCTTCAGAGACAAAAGAGCTGAAGAACATCTGTCCTTATTTTGGATAGAGTGTGAGAGAACAGCTCTCTCTATTGTGTCACGTCTCAGTTGGGATGAGATGAGAGTGAGTGATTAAACCACCGGAGGATTGTTTCTGCTCAACGCAGACACGTTTGAAGACATTTAAATATTGCCTTCATTAAACTTGAATCGGCCCCCTGAAATGTGCATATAGACGAGTACACACATAAATATGCCAGTCAAGAGTAACAGTCAGCAGCTATGATGACCCCCCCACCCACCATCTCTTCCCACTGCGTAAATAACATGAAACATGCCATTGCTGCTGTGTGTTAAAAACACACATATATCTTTCGCATCCAAACATGAGCTCCTGTCAGGAAACATAGCGGCTTTAAATCTCTCTGACTGCTTGTGAAAACAAACCAGAAGACTTCAATTTTACAAACTAGATGAAGTTTTTGTATAGCAACCAACAAGCATTAAAGGTCCCCTGTGGAGTTTTCTTGTAAACAAACAATAGTTCTGTTCACTGTTACTGTTTCCTTCCTCATAAGATATGTGCAAAGTCGATTTTTTAAATATTTTAAATCGTACATTATTTACATTTGTTTACTTCTTCTTATCTTCTTCTTCCTGGTTTTTGTTAGCGCATTGCTACATTTGTAAGCGTGTTGCCCCCATAAAGTATTGAACAACAGAATATCATGAAACCAAGGGCAGAATGTAAATCTGCTGGCTGAATGTGTGCATGTGTGTGCATACATGTGCATGTCCACAATACAAACAACAAATGGACTTTCTTATTTAAAAAAAAAGGCTTCAGAGTGATTTATAATTTGATGCAAAGTTTAATGCAATCGTCTGAAGATCCTTTTCATCACTGTTACATAGTCTGGGCTGTGCAAGATCTATGAGTGTATGTATTTAAATGTGCTAGTGTTAAATAACACTGGATGTGTCCAGCTGCCTTTGTCTCTCTGGAACAGCGGTTTTCATTTGAGTTTGACATTTAAGACCTGCTCCCTCCATCTGCATCCATCACCATTACTCTTGCTATACTTAGCACACCCAGGGAGAGAAACACAGAGAGAGGGAGAAGTTGAGAAAGGCCAAGAGGCGAAGAAAGAGAGAAAAAGGTAGAAGGGGTCCAGGGTTACTTCTCCTGCTGAGTGGTTTATATTATTACCTTTTGGGAGCATGTTCCATGAAAGACCGCCCTGTGAGTGTGTGCATATGTGTGTGTGCATGCATGTGTGCCTCTGTGTGTCAGCAGAGGAAACATTCAGTCTGCTGTAATTAAATGTCTGCTACTGCTGTGACCCCGCTGAGCTTCAAACACAACTAATGAAAGGATCTTCCGTTTCATGTGTCATGGCTGCTCCACACACAGACACGCACGCACACACACACACACACACACACACACACACACACACACACACACACACACACACACACACACAGGCTTCATGTCTTCCTCTACCATAGAAACAACCAAACACATGTTCACACATCCCCTCACTACCATACCATAACACTAATGAAAGAAAAATCTTCTGGTGCATCAATCATGGCAGCTCCATAGGTGAACACACATACTCTTTCTTTCAAAGAAATATGACACAACCCAGCATGTAAAACCACACCCACATACACACTTCAGTGCCATACCAGAGTCGTACTATCTGGAATTCAACTTTCTGGGCGACAGTAAAGCACTTAATACCTTATACAGTATTTGTGTGTGTGTGTGTGTGTGTGTGTGTGTGTGTGTGTGTGTGTATGTGTGTGTGTGTGTGTGTGTTTGTGTGTGTGGGTACTTGGTATGCAGGGTTGGTTTGGCTGTCTGTCTAAAGCAACAAGCAGAGAGGGAGGGAAGGACATAAAGCAGAGAGCAAAGAATGGAAAGGAGGAACAGAACGTGATGGATGGATGAATGAGCGAGGCCTCCATTGGATAAATGTCACTCAGGATTAGAGCGTTATGACAGGAAGAACCCCATGATTCTCTTCTCTCTCTCTCTCTTTCTCTCTCTCTCACATACACACACACAGACACACACAAACACACTGCCACAGGTGATAGATGGCAGGTGACTGCTGGTACAGTACATCTAGCCCTTCGGGGAAGCCCTTAGCATCGCCCCTGGCAACTGTAACCTACTGCCTCCTGTGTCCCCCTCCATCATTTTCTCCCCACTGATTCCCCCTTTACCCACCTCTCCTCCACAAGAGCCCCAACCCCTCATTGTCGGCTCATGATCCTTCCCCTTTGGTCAGGTTACATTTAGATTACACACATAGTGAAATCAGATTTCTCTCATTCTTCTCTTGCAACCTTGCCAGACACAGCAAGAAATCCCAGTTAATACAATTTGGGTCATATTTTTGTAGGATGTTAAAATGTTTTCATGTTTTTGGTAAAGATTGCATTCATACTACAACCACACAGAGGGGCAAAAACTGATCGTTCCAACCATTTATCCATTACTTTTAGCTAATTATTTCAGCTATTTATTCATTACTTTTAGTTGACAATTTCATCTCCTCTGCTCACTTGCTAAGTAGTTTTCACGCACTCTTAATGGCAATAAGACCTGAATTAATTGTTGACTCAATGTGTGGATGCATTTTTTTCTCTAATCAAATCATTAATTAAATGTTTTCAAATTAGTTGAGCTACTCCAATCTCCCCCTGTGCCCTCTGGCAACAGCAGAAGTACCCTGTGTGGTACAAGCACCCCTGTTTAGGAGTCACTATGAGTAAGTAAACACTTTATTTGCAGGTAGACAAAAAAGTTAGCGTACCTGGAACACTGGTAATAATTCCTCTTTGCACAATAAAACTGCTGCATGCACAACTGTGGTTAGGAAGAGTATTGCTCAATGTTAAACCAGGAAGTTGGTCTGTAACTGTAACTCATGACATACAGAGGTATTCGGGGTGAACTTCAATGGTTTTTCTGTATTCAATTGCATGCTGATCATCCAGGCTGAAGATTAAAGCCAAGCGCAAAGGTTTCAGGGTAAGGCCAACAAAGCATAACAGTCTAGTTCATTAACTTCATTAGACACTAGAGACTTTTAGTTTGAGGCCACTGGGTAAGAATGAGGGAGAGATGTAGGTGGACTTGCGGCTTTGCTTTACGAGTTGTGACAGGAAGTTGTTGGCATTTTCCTGTTCCTCACTTCTGAGGAATATCTGATATTCCTCAGAAGTGATGTTAGAGGCACAAAAGCTGATGCCACTATTCATTTTCAGCAGGCCTGTATTGCTTGCAGTGTGTAGATTGTTTCACTGTGCTCCAGATGAAGAAGCACCCAGAGGCTCTTAACTACAGCTGGGATGGTTCCCAACAAATACTCAACAGCACATGAGGGAACACGGCAGTTACTCTCCAATTAATCCTGCTTCTAAACCCTGCTTCTGAATGTGTGTGAGAATGTGTGTGTGTGTGTGTGGGGGGGGGGGATTGCGCTTTCTTTACCTAACAGAGACTTGCTCAGATGAAGCACTCA